ATGAATAAGTGCTGGGGATCTAAGGTACAGTTTGATGACTATCGTTAACCATGCCCATATTACATATTTGAAAGTTGCTAAAAGAGTTGATCTTAAGTTTTCTCATCACAAAAAATAAATGGCAGTTATGTTACTGCCTGTAGAATTACATTCAAACTCATCATTTTGATATTCAAGGCCCTCTTATAAATTCAGTTATATTTCCAGCTGCTCCAGTTGAATTCTTTCATCTAGCCAGGCTGAATTATTCATTGTTCAGATAGATACCATACACACACACACACACACACACACACACACACACCTATATGTCCATGTGTGCTTAAGTTGCTTCAGTCATGTCCAACTCTTTGCGACACTTTAGACTGTAGCTCACCAGGCTCCTCTGTCCATGTGATTCTCCAGGCAAGAATACTGGAGTTGCCATGCCCTCCTCCAGGGGATCTTCCCAACCCAGGGATCAAACCCACATCTCTTATGTCTCCTGAATTGGCAGGTGGGTTTTTTAACCACTAGCACCACCTGGGAAGCCCCATATCCCTATATATACACATATATATGTATGTGTGTATGTATATATTGTCTACAGCAGTTGAATCTTGAACAACATGGGTCTGAACTGCACAAGTCCACTTATTGTGGGTTTTTTTAATAGTAAATACTACAGTACTACACAACCCACAGTTGTTTGAACCTTAGCTGCAGAAGACTGTGAGTTATACTCAGATTTTCAACTACCTGGAGGGTTGTTACCCTTCACCCCATTATTGTTCAAGGGTCAACTGGAAAGAGAGAGAGAGTAGTTGAGGTGACTTTTTTTGCTTTTTATTTACATACATTTGAAAGCAACTTGGTTAAACATGGACCCTGGTGTCTGCCTGAGCTCAGATCTCTCCACAGCTTTCTAGCTGTATGCCCTTGGGCAGACTGCTCTGCAGTTCTCTAAACCTCACCTTCCACAACTCTAATACCTTACTGTCTATATTAGCCTGCCCTCGCAAGGACGAAAAATTTTAAGTTCCTATAAAATCTTCAGTACCTGGCAGGTAGTAATACACAGAGGAAGTACTCGACTCTTTTTTCTATATGCAAATATATTGTAAACTCTTCTGTATGTCTGTAAATACAAATAATCTTTATAATTTTTAATGCCACCCAGAAGTAAATGTGCTTTGAAGAAATTGTTATGCAAATAATCAACAGTCTTCTTAACTTTCTGTTTTTATTAGGAAACGGGGATGAATCTAGCATGTGCAGAGTTATACTGTGTACTGGAAGTTGTCTTGAGCTTTTATTTATAAATACCTTTTTATTTTATAAACCAAATGAGGGGAAGGCATTAACCTCATATTGCTGATGAGGAAACAGTGTCCCAGAGAGGTTAAGTAATGGACCTAAGATTACATAGCGAATGTGTATGTGCATGCCAAGTCATTTTAGTCATGTCCAACTCTTTGCGACCCCATGGACTGTGGCCTGCTAGGCTCCTCTGTCTATGGGATTTTCCAGGCAAGAATACTGGAGTGCATAGTCATTTCCTCCTCAGGGGGATCTTTCAGACCCAGGGATCAAACCCACATCTCCTGCAGGTCCTGCATTTGCAGACAGATTCTTTATCACTGAGCCAAAGGGGAAGCTCCTTAAATAAATGGTAGAATTTACTGTCTACCACAATGTGCTTCTTCTTATACCAAATGACATCAATAATTTCTGTAGGTGTGGTGATTAGAAATTCAGACTTAGAGTCTAATAAAGGATTTTTGTCCCAGTAAAATGCTGCAATCTCTAGGCTGTGTTCTATTTTGGAATATTTGACATTAGGCCTATTTCACAGGATTCTGGAAGGAGCAGTAGAGCTTTATTGACGAACATCAGTCTCACCAAATAGCTGGAATTGCGAAATTGTGTCCTGTTCAGTGATAACGACTATGATGTTGTTAAAGACCTATAGAAAGAGGAACACTTGTTTCATCAGTTCTTTCCATTCTTCAGTGTTCCTTAACCCTCTGTCTGCCTTCAGGAATGCCAGGATTACCTAGAAAATTCTATCCCTGTTTTGAAATACACTGCCTTGAGTGTATCAGTTTGTCTTGAGGTTTTTGTTTTGTTTTTGCCATTGCCTGATTTTGTTTTTACCGCAGACCAGTCTCATTTGTAGAATCAGAATCCATTGGTGGTTAGTCAGATGTAGACACTATGTCTCTCTAACATTCAAACAGAACCTCCAGCAGTATTATCCTTGTGAAGTTATCTTATTCAGTCAGAAACATGACTTCATTCCAAATCTCCACTAACAACATTTTCTCAAGTAGCCTCCCAGCAACTAAGGACATTATACATAATTTATATCATTCTCCCAAAGTCCCAAGTCCCATCTAACCAGTTTTTCTGGGTAGACTTCATTCTTGTGGGTTTTTTGGTTATTGTTTTTACTTTTTAAGACATTTATGCTTTTTGTGTGTGTATTCAGCTGTCAGTTTAGGAAAGCTGGTATTTTTCAGGAAACTTAGTATTGGAAAATTCATATATTTTCTATCTTTGTGAATCTTACAGGCCGTGTTATTGTTCTTTTGGGAGGATGGCATTTGGTTCTGGTTTTACTTTTATTTGGTTTTTGCTTCTTATTAAGGAGCAGAGTAAGTGAAACCTAACAATCTGTTATTCCTCAGTCTTAACCCTTTTCTCCAAGAGCTAATGAGACTTTATGGACATCTTTTGTGTCTTTTATAAATCTCCTAGTTCTTAGCAAGAGATCTTGCAGAGAAAGTTTGCAGATGTAAGTCTTAAAGCCTGAGCACTGGTTGACTTGCCTTTATCAGTATTTAGAGTAGTCTTCCCAAGGGTGGAGGACTCCTAGATGGCGCCATGGTAAAGAATCTGCCTACCAATGCAGATGTGGGTTCGATCCTTGGGTCAGGAAGATCCTCTGGAATAGGCCATGGCAAGCTTCTCCAATATTCTTGCCTGGGAAGTCCTGTGGACAGAGGAGCCTGGTGGGCTACAGTCCATGGGGTCACACAGAGTCAGACATGACTTAGCACATGTGCATTCTAGCAAGCATTCTACCAAAACTTCTTTGTTGAACTAGATTGTTCTCTTGGTTTATTTCTACTACTTCTATTGCTCTTAGAACAAGCATGATAATTATAATGACCTGATGATTTATCTCTAGTGGGGATTCATAGCACATTTTTTTTTTAAAGGAAGAGAAACAGAAGGAAGGAGAAAATACCAAACTACCTTTTTTCCCTAGTCATTGTATTCCAGAAATGGGACTTAGTGGACCCTTCGGTCAGGTTTCAGCTTCATGTGAACTTGCTTTTTTCTGCCTTTACTTTTCCTCTGATGAAAGGTGCTTTCCCACTTAGAGATGGGAGTGCCAAGTGGTGTGTGTGGCAGAAGGATGTTTGAGGAGGAATCTGGAGTATGTGGCTGGTGTTTCTATTAGAACAGCATCTTCTACATGACTGCATTGACTCTGTAAAATATGTATGCCTGAAAGAACAGGCAGAAGTAGTAAAGACTAGTCTCAGATTCCAAGTGGTCTTGGTACAGTCATTTATCATGGTAGTTAGATTTAAAAAGACTATTTCAGACGTGTGTGTGTGTGTGCACACGAGCACTAAGACTTTAGAGGGGGAATGATGCAGGGAGTGTGTGTGTTCCTTTGGCAGGTGGTGACTGAATTCAATCAACTGTGGTCACAGCCCTGTACCAAGGATGCAGGTGTTTGAGTGCTAGGCTGGTGAAGTACAAACTTGGCCACATAGTGTGAGATTAAATTTCTTCTTAATTGTCTTAAGAAAGAAACATATTTTAAATGAGCTCACTTCAGTCCTAACACTTCATTCTTCCTGTAACTTTTGCCACAAACGCTCTGCTCACACATATTTTATGCCACTTCTGATGGGACTCTTTTAAATAATGGTAATAACTACTGTTTATTGAACACTTGTTTTCTGTCAGCCGCTATCCTAAGTTCTATATGTATTAGTTCATTTAATGTGGGGAGTGGGAGCTACTTTTATCACCCTTTTATAGATAAGGAGATTGAGGTTAATGAACCTCCTCAAGTTCACACAACTAGCAGAGATTGGAACCTGGCAGTCTAACTACAGAGCCTGTACATTTAGTTTTGTTGTTTGCTTACTTAAAATTTTTTCTTTAATTTTTATGCCATGTTACCTCCATGTTTCTATAATTAATGCTTATGTTCTATAGACTAAGGCCCCACATAAAGACAACTGTGGCTGAAATTATGACCTCTTAGAAATTGTGACTGTTTTTCAGTGGTTTAATGAAAGACTATGTCTACTCTTTATTTTAATTTGTGGTTAGAGTTCACCAATGTATTTTTTCCAAATGCTTAGTTATTCAGTAGGTCTCCTTTTCCCACCTGCCAAGATCTTTATTTTTGAAGTTTTTATCTTCTGCTATGTCTTGTCTATATTCTGCTTTACCAACTTGAGTACAGAGGACTTCTTTCTTTCAATAAATTGAAAACAGTAAATATTGCTTTTTAAAACCTATTACTTTTCATGTAATTGCTTAAATTTTGCCTTTTGATGCTCACTGATAAGACTTTGAATGCCTGAGAGATGCCAGGCACTTCGTTAGGTACTCAAAAGATGAAAATTTAGTTTTGCCCTTCAGATAATTCACAGACAAGGAAGGGCAACTGTAGGTAATAGGGAGAAGAGTATCACGGAATTAAACAGGCAGATGTTTATAATTGCTATATGAGACAAAATAGTTTGGATATGATGTTACTTAAAAAAAAAAAGGAATCAGTAAACTGTTTTTTTTTGAACATTGTTGTATGTATGGAAATGACTTCCTAAATCCTATAGGGGTTAAAAGAACCATATGTAAGAATTTCTGGGCTGAAATCTCTCTCATAACTCTCTGTGGTTCTCACGTTTGCTAATCTTGACAGCGTTCACTTGATACCATGCCATTTTAATTGTACCCGTCCTTACATCCTACCTGTTCCCTTTCAGGTTTCTATATATGCTGTCCCAGAAAAGATTGGTCAAGTTCACCATGCCTTGGAAACGACTGTGAAGCTTCTTGACTTTTATCAAAACTACTTTGAAATTCAATACCCACTAAAGAAATTGGGTAAGAATCAAACAGTGCCTCCGATTTCATTACCAATATAACCTAGATTTAGGTTGCAAACTTCTTTAGAAAGAACTTTTGCCCAAGTTATTTCAAAGGAAAACCAAGAAACTCTGTTATGTTTAAGAATTGTTTGTATTTGTTAAGATTATTTAGATTCTGTGGATGTCTCTGAATGTGTAGCTTAAAGCGTTTAGAAGTTTATGGGCCTATTTCAAAGGTGCTGGGTAAGTGGGGATTTGCTTAGGGCTTAACCTGGAGTTGGACTAATTCCAATTTCCTAAGAAATTCCTAATTCAAATAATAATAGGAGTAATGAGAGCTCAGGAAAGCAAGAGTATTTCAGTGTCATTCAACAGGGTGCTGATTTTAGATGGAAGAGCGTTGGCCCTGCCTTCTGTCCTCCTTGTTCTGGGAAGTTCTTCATTGTGAAGGAATTAGATCTGCCTTCTCTTGCTAAGGGACTCCATGGGGGGTTGATCGGGGCTTCTCAGCTGACAGCTGGTAAGGAGCATATGGGCTAGAAAGTTTCCTTTCCCTAGGAGTCTGTAAAATGAACTTACTGATACAGTGAACCTACTGAGAGACCAGTGGGTAAAATACTTGGATTTAACTCGGGAGTGCCTTAGATGGGGGAAAGTTAACCACTTCTTTCCTGTTATATCCAGACTTGGTGGCTATCCCTGACTTTGAGGCAGGAGCAATGGAAAACTGGGGTTTGCTCACCTTCCGAGAAGAGACACTTCTGTATGATGATAATACTTCTTCAGTGGCAGATAGAAAGCTGGTTACTAAAATCATCGCTCACGAGCTGGCCCATCAGGTATCGGCAACCAAGACTGTTATGTCTCACACCTGTGGTCTGTTTCATGTCCTGGAGTTTTAGAATACATTTAGATGCTAATAATAATTCAGCTTTATAGAGTATTGCCTTCTTTCATAATACAATGGTGCTTTTTTTTAACACAAATTTTTGGATAAAAATGTTATCTAGCAGTCGTTATAGGACTTTACAGATTATAAAGCATTTTGACTTCTTTATCTCTCTCATGTTTCATAACTTGATAGGGAAGAAAGCTTTCCCTGAGTTGCACGCCTTTTCTCCATGGAATATAGTGGTCAGGACTAGGTTTATCATTTTGTCTCCTGCTAAAAACTGGGTGCTTAATTTGGGAGCGGGAAGGTACTCTGTATGATGTAGAGAAAAGGAAGAAAAATTTTATGGGTACATGACCCTTGATCTTTCTTCCCCAGTACCTGGTCCCTCTCGTGCCCTCGATGTGGTGTTCATCAGGGTGGGGTCCAGTCTGGGGTGTCACGACGGTGGGAGGAAGTAGGCAAGAGTGGGACGTGCTCTGGCCAGTTGACTGTCTACCTCAATCACAGCCTGCAGCACGCTGGCCCTCGTGAGGACTTTGTGACAGGCTGGCATATGAAGCGCGTGCTTATTTTCTCTTACAGTTAGGCATGGAGACAATCTGTTTTTTAGGGGATCTGCTCTAGGTCTGTTATTTCTGGGGCTGGCCATCACCACGACAGGAGTGTTTCCCTTGTACTTCTTTACGACTTAGAAGTCATCTTCTTCTGAAAGAGGTTTTAGGATATTAATCTTTGAGAATATGCTTTTATGATTCTCCATAGTGCTTTGTTTCAGTCCCTAATAACCTTATCATTTTGCTGATGGTTTGAGCTGAGCCCTTGGACACAGTGACTGAACTGCACACTTTATTGACCATGCTTTATTTCAGGGATTTTTGAGATGCATTTTTTTAGGGGTGGCTCATCTTCTTTTTCCTTTTTCTTACTACTTTGTGGAAAAAAGCCATTTAGAAGTCTTTCTGATTTTATTTATTTGTATGCATGCCAAATTTCTTAGGGAATATTATTTAAATTCTGTTCTGAATCATGTAGATACTCAATGTGGGTGACTAAGTAGAAACACGCAGTCCAGACTCTGACTATAGGAACATCCCTCATATAGATGTTCATTTTTTGTTTGTCATGATGATTGTAGACATGATGGAAAATAATATTACCAACTTGATATTAGAAAGTAGACGAATTTATCTAGGAAATGTTTTAATGAGGTGACTAAAGACAGTTTTTGTCTTCCTAGTATGCAGCATGTATGTTAAACTGATAAATAAGCCAGTTGTCTTTGTTTGTTTTATTTAAGGTAGAATGTTAAATTTATAATTTTACTTTAAAAGTGAATTTATTCAATGTATACAGTTTTACTTTTAAAGTAAATTTATATTACAAATACAATTTATTTGTAAGACTTAAAGTTGAATATAGTTTGTTTTAACTGCAATAAATATACTTTTAAGTAATTGTAATCTGGTTATAGGTGATTAATCTGACAATTCAATTATTAGAAAATTCTTGAGAATGTGAAGTTGGTTAGTTGTTTGTTCTTTCCCCGCAGTGGTTTGGTAATCTGGTAACAATGCAGTGGTGGAATGATGTATGGCTAAATGAAGGTTTTGCTACATTCATGGAGTATTTCTCTTTGGAAAAAATATTTGGAGAGCTCTCCAGTGTAAGTACACTGTTTGTTAGGCCTACTGTGAATGCCAGGAAGAACCAATTATACTTAACGTGTATTTTCCATGCATTTGGAGCAATGAAAATATTTCTAGAAAAATACAATAAAACTGACCCATATTACTGATCTCTATACCTCTTGAGATTTGACAGTGAAAATTGTGCTTTTAGTTACTGATGTATTTCAGAAAGCGAAAATTATGTGAAACTACTTTATACTTTGTCATTAAGATGAACATTTTAAATTACTTTGCTAAATTGTATGTTTAATAGATGTGGCCCTTATGCTTTAAAGAATTTAAATAGAGTTGAAAAGCTTTTTTGTTTTTGCAAAGCAAAACTTTTTATCCTACTTATAGAGAAGAAATTAAGACATTTTGTGGCAATGCTGTCTATTATCACTGTGATCATTCTTACAACAGTGATACACAAGTTGATACAGACAAATGATTTGCTCTTTTTAGGTCCAAACCACATTTTGTGCCCCTTTCAAAGACATGGAACCCCATTCTGTTGCAGAGCGCATGATAATGTTGTTACTGTGTTCTTAGACTCTCCGGACATGTTTCTTCTCCTTAGAGAGATTTGGACATACTAGGTCATTTATGGGAGGAGGGCATGTCAACCCACTCCAGAGTTCTTGCCTGCAGAAGCCCCATGGACACAGGAGCCTGGCGGGCTATAGTCCACGGGGTTACAATGAGTCGGACACAACTGAGCGACTCAGCACACAGCGCAGGTCGTATATGACAGGTATTGCCGAATAATTCAAGCAGTAAATGGAAGAGTATAAGGATCCCTTTCTACTGTAGAATTCTGTGACTTTCTATTAAGCTTCTTGATTGTATGATACAAAATTGCTTCAAAAGACCAGTACTCTCAGAGCTTTCAGTTTGAAATTTTTGTGTAGGGCCTGTTCAGTGATTTCAAATGGTAAAATGAACTCGGTTTAAGCTAGGATATTAATAAGTAAAGTAATGTAAATCTGGGTATGGTTCTTAATTAAACAAAGAGATATACAGTTTCACCACTTGGTGGTGCCCAGAATGTTTAAAAGCTTTTAGCATATATTCTAGAGGAATTCATCTGTTGAACTCTCAGACTTCTTTCTGTTTAAGACTTATATTTTACTTAAGAATAACCTCAGTTAAGGGAAATGTATATTATCTCAATAGAAAAGCTTGATTATGTATGAGAAAGCAACTTAAGGAGCAGTTCCCTTTTTTTTTTTCATATTTTATTTTATAAATATCCACTAGCCATTTTTAAATAATCATTTGAACATCTGGATTTAGCATTTGGTTGCTTTAATAATAAACTCTTAATTTATCCTTGTGCTGTTGTTTAGGAAACACTGTTTTTTGTGGAGACTGTAATTTTTTTTTTTAATTTAAGGAATATGCATAAATGTCACATTGTTCCTACATCTTCAACAGGTTATTTCTAAAGTTTACTGAAACTAGTTGATTTTTTTTATAAAGACCTTAAACAGTAATTAGTCTAATTCCTATCAATAATTACTAAACTTGCCTGTGTTTAATACTGTTCATAGTTTTTTTATTCTGTTTCATTTTTTGTAGTATGAAGATTTCTTAGATGCTCGATTTAAAACCATGAAAAGAGATTCCTTGAATTCATCCCATCCAATATCATCATCGTCTGTTCAGTCTTCAGAACAGATTGAAGAAATGTTTGATTTTCTTTCCTATTTTAAGGTATTGCCATGCACAAAAAGTACCTGGAATAGGTTACAAATTAATTTCATATGTAAGCAAGCTGCCTGATTTAGATTATTTTAGAGATTAAACAAGTATTATTTTCAATTTCCTGTTAAACTTTAAGGTGTTTGCTTCTATTTAAATCTTGGTCTTAACTTGATGTAGGTTTTTCTTTCTTTCTCTGTCTCTTAAGTTCTCTAACTAGTATTCTGGCCAGTTAACCAGACTTTATAGTAATACATCTTTTAAAGTTGGATCACTGTCCAGATCTATAGGTAGAATATGTCCACGGGAGGCTGTAAACCTTTGGCTATGTTATTCAGGACTGAAGTGTGTTCCAAAGTCAGAATTGCCAAAACAGGTAAGCAAAAGGAGATTTTTAGGAATTGAAGATTCTGTTGTAGAATTAGAAACATAGACTCCAGGTATGGAGGTAAAGCAAAAACAAAAATTTAAACACCTGATTAGGATCATCGTAGTTAGAGAACAGGAGAGGGGGTGTCACATTTGTGTAGGGAAGGAGGGATGAATTTTATAGCCTGCTTGCCTCCTTAGTCTGGCTACCAGATCAAGATCAATAAATTGAATTCCCATCCTGAACAGAGAAGAAGATATACAAAGCATATGCGTACAGTTCACGTCATCAAGAAACTCAGAGTTTAGGTCAGGAGTACTTGTGAAGCAGTAAGAAAGAATATGTGCTAAGGGAATGGTACAGAGTATTTTTGCCTGGGATCATGGAGAGAAATTTCTTGGAAGAACATGGAAGCTAAATAATAGAAAGAATATATAGGTAAAGAGCAATGGGAACAATAGAATAGGGCAAGAACAGCACAATGAGGTTTGCAGAGAAAGAATCAGTAATACTAATGGGCAGGGAATTTTTGTTTAGGGAGTAAATGTTTGCCGTGAAAGCCACATGTGGGGTAGGGAGAGATGAGAATGGTAGGTTGGGGCTCAGTTGTAGAAGGTCCTGAATGCCATCAGGAATCTGGACTTTTTCTATGATCAGTGGGAAGCTTTAAGAGATTTTTAAATAGAGGAATGGCTTTGAGATTCAAGTGACTAGGAAAATTAACTTGCTTCAGTTTACAAAATAGAGTTTAAATGGAGAGAGACCAAAAATCAGGAAATTGCTGCTGAAGTCGAAGCATGAAGTGGTAAAAGTTTAAAATTAGGAGTGGTAGTGAGAGTGGGAGGAAACTGATGGGTGTGGAAGAAAACCCCAGGCGGAGGGAAATGCTTAAAGGACTTAGTGATAGGTCAAAGCAGGTGAAGAAGGAGGCAGAAGTGTTTTCCAGGTTCAAGCCTGACTGGCAGGGAGAATGGTACTACTGTTATTAAATGAGGACATCAGGAGTTCAGTTAGCTATATGAAATACATTCCAATTAGAGCTACTGCCATGTGTTGTGATTTTTAAAGCCCATACTGGACCTACCAATAAAGAAAATGTTACAACTTGCAGTGCTTTTCTTACACAGAACAGTTATTTCAGGATCTCTTGTTATAGAGCTCTTTCTTTTTCTGACCCCCACCCTCCAAACCTAGAATTCACTGTCTTCTGAGCTTGTTGCTTCCATAACATACTTTATGCCTGTCAGTATGGTAGGTACTTATTTCAGAATTGGGAATCTGGCAAATGTCCCATCCACAGAATTGAGAAAAAATAGTTCACTGGATAATTTACCATTATTGTGTGTGAGAAGTGCCAGTGTTTGAGAGTAAGTCATGTGTTTGCAGACATATTCTGTTTGATCTTCATAATCTTTAAGCCTAATACTGATGCATGTTGCCTTGTGATAATTCAATCATTTATCAAATTATACAAGTACCAACCACATACCTGGTCTCCTAGGTACTGGGAATAGATCAGGAAAGAAGGTGGACTATGTAATGGAGCTTCCATTTCAGGGGTCAGCGATAGGGACATACGTAACACAAATGACTGAAAGAGACTGGTGGTTAGTGTGAATATGAAAATGAAGCACAGTAAGGAAAATGAGAATGACAGGGAAAGGCTGCTTTGTATAAATGGCTGGGAAAGACCACTGATAAGGTGATATTTGAATACCATATTCAGTGTTCCAGGCAGAGGGTGTAACCAGCGCACAGGGCTTGTGTGCAGACATCAGTTAGCGTAGTAGGCCTGAGACTGCTATCCTTAGAAGGGCATTATTGTGAGGCTCGACCTTGGCTAATTTCTGGCAAATTGGCTTTGGGAAGAGTTCTCACCATTCCCTGATAAGAATGACTCACTGTGCCCACAGTTTATGGTTTCCTTCTGGGAGTCTGGAGTTTTGGTCCTTGCTAGGCAGAAGATACTTGCATGACTAGCCCCCAGTAAAAATCATGGGTACCAAGTCTCCGAGGAACTACCCTGATAGCCAGTATTTCATATGTGTTGTCACAAGTTGTCACTTGGAGAATTAAGCGCATCCTTCAGAGGACTTTTGGAAGCTTGTACTTGTTCACCCCATGAGACTTTTCCCTTAGCTGATTTAGCTTCATGTCCTCTCATAGTAATAAATCATGGTGGTGAATATGACTGCATACTCAGTCCTGGTTCTGTGAGTCCTTCTACCGTGTCATCATATCTGGGACTTGTTTTGGGGACCCACACGACTTGAGATGAAGATTGGTTGGCATGTTTAAGCACCAGCAAGGAGCCAAGGTGTCGGCAGAGGAATAAATGCAAAGGAAAGTAGTAGATGAAGTGAGAAGGATTATAAGGGGCCAGATCATTGTAGATCATCTTATTAGATTTGGTAAGGACCTTGATTTTATGCACAGTGGAATGAAAGCCATCAGAAGAGAGGAGTACTAGTATGATTTATTTATTTATTTTTGGAATAAGTCAGCCTTCAACGTCACGTGGAATCAAGGTGACTTGTTAGGAGGTTGTTGTAATAGACCAGTAGCAAGGAAATGGTGGCACGGACAAAGGTGATAGTAGTGAACGTTGATAAGCCATGTTTGGTTTTGAAATGTATTGTGAAGTTTAGTCCAGTAGAATTTGCTAATGGATTAGATGTCAAGTTAAGAGAGGAGTCGAGGATGACTTCAAGATTTTGGCCTGGACAGCTCGAAAAATGGAGTTTTTATTTGTTGAAATGAGAAGATTATTGGAAGAGTATATTTAGGACAAGAAAGGGGAAAAAAAGATCAAATTTTGAGTAAAAGGTGCATAAGTGGAGATAGTAGGCGTGTAATTGGATATGAGTCTGGAATTGAAGCAAAGTCTGGTTAGATATATAATTTGGGGGTCATGTAAAACCCCTGTGGTTGAGAAGATCAACAAGGAAGTGACTTTAGAGAAGAAAAGAAGTCTGAAGATTAAATGCCAGGGACATGAAAAGTTAGTCCTGAGAAGATAAGGAGGGTGCAGCAGAAGAGACAGAGAGGGATGCCCAGCGCACAGGGGAGGAATCAGGAGTGACATGCCAAAGCCAAGAGCAGGATGACTTTCACGGAGGAGTGCATGATCAGTCATATCAAATGCTGCTCGTTGGGTGAGCCCGAGAAGTGACATTGGTTTGACACTGTAAGGTTCACCAGTGGCCTTCATAAAACCACTTCCAGTGGAATGATGATGGTTGGAAGATGGCTCAAGAGAAAATGGAAACAGAGCAAATGAACATGGCAAATGCAGACAGCTCTTTTGAAGAACTGACTTCCCAAAGGAGGAATAAGAAATACGGTGATAACTGGAGGGGGCGTGAGGTTAAGGAAAGGAAGCACATCTTTTGTTTGAAATGAGAACTGCTGGGTGTTTTTTTGTTTTTCCTAATGGAGTGTTGCAGTGTTACACTAGAGAGGGGGACTATTGGGAACAAGAATGCCTATTTATGGAACAAATACCACTGAAGTGTGATACAGAAATAAGAAAATAAGAGGTATTAAGTTCAGTTATATGTATCTTGTAATCTTGATGACTTAACATTGCTGCATTTTTTATCAGAAATGCATTCATTCAGAATTTTTTTGCATTTGAGTGCCTTCTATGTAGTAGGCATGATTTTAGTCATAGGAGTTGAGCTCCTAGCTTGTTTTCCCCTAAATTAGCTTACAGTCTAGAAGAGGAAATAAACACATCTCTATAGCAGGTGCAGGAAGTGTGATATAAATTGCTTTTGAATGTGGAGGAGGCGGTTGCTGTTTTAAAATTGGGGATGGTGACATGCATCATAATATAGCGTGGCCTTAATAGCTCCACGTCTGATTATAAATTATTAGTGTGTGCTTACTACGTATATACACATTCATATGTTCTGAACATATTTGAAGTGACTCTGCAAGAAGAAGAGAGATCTTGGTTACTTCAAAAACATGACACCTTGAAACTGGAAATTAATGTACTCTCTAGCAAAGAGACATTTGAGAGTTCAGCTCCTTTATTGTCTCCAGCAATGTGCCCATGACGTCAGCTGGGACTTCAAGCCCAGGGGGTAGGGGTGGGGATGCCACAGAAAATTCAGCAGTCTTTTAAAGTTAAAAATATATGTGTAAGCCCTTAACTTTTTAACATTAACACTGAAACATTGAGTAATTGATAGACTACACAGAGTGGCCCACAGAAGAATTAGTGCACATAGGCATTTTTATTTTTCAACTTCTTTAAAATAATTTTTAAAGAATTAATTCTTTCTAAAATTCTTTAAAATAATTTTTAAGACAATTTGACCATAGTCCACAACTGGTTACTTGAAACAAGATAACAGTGAATTATAACTGGGTTATTAAAGTATTTGCTTAGAGTGATTGTATTTTGAATTTTAGGTTCTTATTTCTGTAAACCTATTGTATTCTATTATTTTCTTCCCTTTTTCCCCCTTTTTTTTTTTTGGAATAGGGAGCTTCCCTGTTGTTGATGCTGAAAACTTACCTTAGTGAAGATATATTTCAACATGCCATTATTCTTTATCTGCATAATCATAGCTATACATCCATTCACAGTGATGACCTGTGGGATAGTTTTAACGAGGTAAGTGACCTGGATATTTTATTTAGCTCTTGAAGTAAGAAGAGAGGGATTCTTGTATTTAATATTTTTGTCGGGTGTGTAAATAAGCCATAGTACCAAGGACAGTTTTTAAGAGAAAAAGGAATGGAACTTAGTATATAAATGTTTATGAATAAGAGCACAGAATTAAAAGTCATGAAATGGAAGTACTGGGCTTAATTGCCCCCCAAAAAATTGCGTGAGGCCTTGTGTAAGCACCTTTAGTCTGGATCTTAATCTCTCTTCCTACCTTGTAGGAAAGCTCTCCTCTCTGATGTTTTTGCTGTTTTTCTACCTTCCATTCATGACTGTTTGCTCTACACTTTGCCCTGTGACTCCTCCTGTCTTTGCTGGCCGTACGCCACTAAAGTGCTGTAGATGACATCTCACAGTCTGGCGACCATAGCTGAGTTGTGCCCTCAGATCCTTTTGCTGCTTGGATTTGCTTGTGCCTCCAGATTCTAACAAGCAGTGTCATTAGTTACAGGTTATGCTTCGTAACAGTGCCTGAAGCCAGCTTGCATCACACGCACACATGCTGATGCGTAGCCTTTATAAGCCTTTGAATTTGTTCCCCTCATCTAGATCAATGGTTTTTCATGCTTTGGAGGATCACAAACATATCTGAACATTTGATGAAAGTTATGGACATATTCCCCCCAAAATCCACAGAGAGGCAAAGTGTCACACACAAAGTTTCATGGTTTCTGGGTGAAGAACCCCTGCTCTGAAGCTTTTGTGCTCTGTCTGCTTCCTTGCCTTATCTGAAACTTGATACCTTCTAGTTGTTAACCCTTTTCCCAGAAGATGTATCTTCCCTACTCTCTCAGTTCTCTTTGAGAAGAAGGATCAGTCCTTATCACCTAAGAGCTGCTTCTAAATCATTGTTTTTCTTCTTATCATGTAGTAGCATTTCAACTGAAAGCCGCATTATTTACTCTGTACTCAATGTATTATCTCCTGCCAGTTAGAATGTATTTCTGCCTTCCTCACTAACTTCAGCTTTTGCATCATGGTGCTTTCCTATCCTGACCTAGCCCCTAATATTATCCTTACATATTTCAGCACCAACATCAAATTATGCACTGGCCTCTTCATTTCAATTCTGTTTCAAAGACCCAGAAGTGCCTTGCTTTGGGGCAGTTTTGTTTTCTTCCCAACCCCTTGTCCTGAAAGAAATAGATCAGAGCCATTGAACATGTAGGATTAGTATCACAGTGCATTTAAGAAGATTTGCTCCATCCTTTTTGGCTTTAAATAAGTAGGTGTACATCGACTGAGGTAAGGCCAGTCATAGTGGCGTGATATTACCAAATGATCATACCATTTAAGTACTTGATGATTTGAGTTTGCTTGCAATTCAGATCCATATGTAATCTAGAAAGATAATCTGAATCATAAATTTAACTCACCTGCTTCAAAAATTGCTTCTTAATCATTGATACCAGATGTCTTAGGGACAGTAAGCTTTAGAGGGCCTGTGAACCTTTGACACTGATTCTAGATTTTATAGATCAATCCATGTATTGTGAGGGTAAAGGGCTATGTGTCTAGGAAAAGCGTTCACCACTGTTTTCTGGAGAGACCTAAGGTCCAGGCAGCCAACCTGTTTATATTTCACTCCTCTGTAGCGGCTGCTGTTCCCATTCCTAGGCCCCCCCACAGGATGAGCTCTTAAAAAGATGAGCTTTACCATTTGTAAAGGGCTTCCCTTGTGGCTCAGCTGGTAAAGAATCCACCTGCAATGCTGGATGCCTGGGTTCGATCCCTGGGTTGGGAAGATTCTCCTGGAGAAGGGAAAGGCTACCCACTCCAGGATTCTAGCCTGGAGAATTCCATGGACTGACCTCCTGGAGAAGTCCATGGGGTTGCAAAGAGTCGGACAGGACTAAGCGACTTTCACCTTCACACCATTTTGTAAAAGCAGAGGGTCTGGGGAGTAAAGAGAACTCTGGACCTAGCTGGCTAACAGCAATGAGTAGCAGTGTTTCTGATTTCTCGCCTGTGTGTCCTTAGTCAAACCTTCTCAACAGTAGCTTTGTGACCTAAAGGAGGGCTTGTACCTTCTGAGGGATTTTAATGTACCCGTAGTCAGTTTACAGCATCTGTGCTGCCTTTTTCAACATGTGCTGCCTCTCACTCTCTTTAGTTTTCTCTCATTTCTAGTCCAGGTTACTTTCTTTTTAGCAGTTGCTCATTTATCTAGAGTAGAAATGTAAACTCAACTCAGCATTGATGCATCGTGATAGAGAAAGAGGGAAAGATACTATAATTAGACTCTTTATCTCTGAGAAAAATAATCTATTCTTCTTTCTGTAGGTCACAAACAAAACACTAGATGTAAAGAAAATGATGAAAACCTGGACCCTGCAGAAAGGATTTCCTTTAGTGACTGTTCAGAGAAAAGGAAAGCAAATTCTTGTACAACAGGAGAGATTCTCTTTAAATGTTAAGCCTGAAATTCAGCCTTCAGATGCAAGGTGAGAACCCACTGTCTCTCCTGCTATCTCTTTAATCCCAAAAAGGGCAGTGCCAAAGAATGTGTAAACGACTGTGCAGCTGCATTCATTTCACATGCTAGTAAGGTGATGCTCAAAATCCCTCAAGCCAGGCTTCAGCAGTACACGAACCGAGAACTTCCAGATGTTCAAGCTGCATTTAGAAAACGCGGAAGAACCAGGGATCAAATTGCCAATGTTCGTTGGATCATAGAGAAGAAAAGGGAATTCCAGAAAAACATCTACTTCTGCTTCACTGACTACCTGAAAGCCTTTGACTGTGTGGATCACAACAAACTGAAATTTCTTAAGAGATGGGAATACCAGACCACCTTTCCTGTCTCCTGAGAAACCTGTGTACAGGTCAAGAAGCAACAGTTAGAACCTCACATGGAAAAACTGACTGGTTCAAAATTGGGAAAGGAGTACAACAAGGCTGTATATTGTCACCTTGTTTATTTAACTTATATGAAGAATACGTTGCCTGAAATGCCAGGCTAAATGAATCCCAAGCTGGAATCAAGATTAGTGGGGGAAATATCAACAACTTTATATATGCAGATGACACCATTCTAATGGCAGATAGTGGAGAAGAACTAAAGAGCCTATTGATGGAGGTGAAAGAGGAGAGTGAAAAAGTTGGCTTAAAACTCAACATTCAAAAAATTAAGATCATGGCATCTGCTCCCATCACTTCATGGCAAATAGATGAGGAAAACGTGGAAACAGTCACAGATTTTATTTTCTTGGGCTCCAAAATCACTGTGGATGGTGACTGTAGCCATGAAATTTAAAAAAAAAAAACACTTACTCCTTGGAGGGAAAGCTATGACAATGCTAGATAGCATATTAAAAAGCAAAGACATTTACTTTGTTGACCAAGATCTATATACTCAAAGCTTTGGTTTTTCCAGTAGTCATGTACAGATGTGAGAGTTGGACTATAAAGAAGCCTGAGTACCAAAAAATTGATGCTTTTGGAATGTAATGTTGGAAAAGACTCTTGAGAGTCCTGTGGATAGCAAGGAGATCAAACCAGTCCATCCTCAGGGAAATCAGTCCTGAGTATTCATTGGAAGGACTAATACTGAAACTGAAGCTCCAATACTTTGGCCATCTAATGCAAAGAGCCAACTCATTGGAAAAGACCCTGATGCTGGGAAAGATTGAAAGCAAAAGGAGAAGAGGACGACAGAGGATGAGATGGTTAGATACCATCACTAACTCAATGGACAAGAGCAAACTCCAGGAGACAGTGAAGGACAGGGAGGCCTGGTGTGCTGCTGTCCGTCGGGTCACAGTCAGACACAACCTAGTGATTAAACAACAACAACAGATCTCTTTTGCACCCTCAGGTCACAGTGTTTTCAAATGTTTCGTAATCATAAGTTCTTAGAAAGCCTAACAAGATTATACCTTTCTGGGAGTAACTTGAAATATGTCACCTTCCTGCCAAAAAAGAAACCACTCAACAAAGTATGTGTAACTGACTGAACTATTGGAAAGAGTTAATAATCTTCCAGTGTTTTCTTTTTATTACAGTTCTCTGTGGCATATTCCACTATCCTACATCACTGATGGAAGAAATTACTCCAAGCATCGATCAGTATCATTACTGGACAAGAAATCAGGTTGGACTCTTCTAACACTTTCCTGATAAAAAATTAGAAACAGCATATTTTCTAAAAAGCTAACCAGGCAGCAGAAAGGAAATGACACTTTCCCAATGTGCACAGCTTTGTGAGCTGGTCCTATAAGACACCTACAGAAAGTATGACTAAAGTGAGATTGATTCTGTATGCAATATCGTACATAAAACTGGTCTTTCTTAATCATGCAAAATAAGGTATGAAAAACCACTGAATATGCTAGCAGTTGGGGTAGAAAATAGCAAGTGCTGTGTTTTTGTATCCGAGATAACCGTTTTATGTTACAAAGTAACAAGTAGAAGATGAATTTCCAAAGGATACTCTGCTGTCCATTCTCTCTGGGTTGGGCTGGGCCCACTACTTTTTTATAAGCACCCTAGATGATTCTTAAGTATGACAAAGGTTGGTTCATGATGCAGAGTTGTAGTAAATAGTTACTACAAGATGTCCTGTAGACATAGTATACATTTTTTTATAATGAGAAAATAGGACTAGAAAGTATGACTGTGGAGGGTGATAATAAAATGTACAGATTGTATATGCAGACTCACAAGGGGTCTATAAAAAGAAATTGAAATGTAGTTTCTTACCACCATCTGTTAAATACCACCCAGTGCCACGCCATGTAGCGTCTTAATTTACATCCTGAAAACATGAGGCTCTTGCGTTCTGCAGGACTCATTAGTAATACTTGAGATTCATGGAAAGGGAAAATTTCTTGTTCGAATTTGGATCTGGTGTTCAGCCCTCTATCGTTGAAAGGGAAGTATAGCTTAGTGACGATATGACTTTGGAGCCAGATTGCTTGGTTCAATCATACGATTTTAGGTGAGTTATATGACCTCTCTGAGTCTCTTTCCCTAAGCTATAGAATGGAGAGATTAACTGTACTAAAGTTATAGTGTTATGATTTAGTTCATGTTAGGATTTAGTTCATTAATATGAAGCACCTAGAATAATGCCTGGCACATGTTATGTACTATAGAAGTGTTAGTTATCATTATTAATGTTACTAATGAAAAAAATAATTCTAAAGCATAACATATCCACATTACGTAAAATCCAGAAGGTGGAAAACAAATTTTATGACTCTCTTGTAACTACTCTGATGATTATTTCTTTCTAGTAATTTTTTAAAAATGGTTTTTTACTTAGGTTGATGCTATGCACATGTGATTTTTGTATTAATATCTTAATTTTCACTGATTGACTTAATCTTTAATTACTGTTGGACACTTGATTTACCATTTGTATCTATTTAAAAAATGCCTCAATGAAATCTGAGTTTTTAAGTGCTTTCTCATTATATGAACTTTTTCATAAGAATGCTTCTCAAAAATGATGACTGTGTTACATTTTGTGGTTTAATTCATATTTCCAGGTTGCCCTTCTTTTGTGTGGTAATAACTTATAAGGCCAATTGAACTATATGAGCATACCAGTTGCATTTCGGTCTAACTGGAATGTTACAGTAATTACTTAAAACATTAAGTACAATTGATTATGTCATCATATCTTCGATTAACACAGCATAGCTGGAGGTGCAAGAAATTCCTGCCTTCTTTGATTATAAGCAAAACCTCATACTTTCAGTGGGCCTTGCAAGGGGTCTCTGACCTAAGAGAGAACAAATTATCCCATCTTGTATTTTTGAAAGGGACCAATACAGAAATTTCGCAAGCCTCTCAATAGTATATATGTTTTTGGTGGTGTCAGAAATGACTGGACAACAAGAAATCTGCTTTTATTAGCCTTTTACTTTTTTGGCTCAGTTCATATGTCAACTTTTTAAACTCTTTCTGAGACTCACACCCCAAAGTCATGCCCATATTTTCCTGCTGTAACCTTTTCTTTCTAAGCACTCTCTTCTTGCACTGCACAAAAACTGTTTCAGCAGTTCAAGAATGCGTGCCGCCTCTTGTCTCTGGGCCTTTGCACATGCTGTTTTCTGTCCTGGAAGAACACTCTTGTCTCTTGACTCCCTGGTTTTATTCCTATTCACTCTTCCAATCTCAGCTCATCTCCTGCTTGTTCTAAGGAGCTTCCCTCATCCCAAGACAGGTTGGATGCCTCCCTTATATGTTTTAATGATGTTTTCTACTTTTAATATACTGTGGCTGTTTAGTCCCTAAGTCATGTCTGACTCTTTCTCGACCCCGGGGACTATAGCCCGCCAGGCTCTTCTGTCCATGGGATTTCCGAGGCAAGAATACTGGAATGGGTTGCCATTTCCTTCTTCAGGGGATCTTCCTGACTCAGGGATGGAACTAGTCTCCTGCATTGGCAGGCGGATTCTTTACAACTGAGCCACTTACTTGTATCTGTCCCCACAGCAGATGTATCCCCGCACTGAACGTGGAGATCTTAGCTCCACAAGTCACTTTTGCAGCCCTGCACCCTGTAGGCACATAAAAACTTATTGAATAAATACATTGTAGTTTATAATGGAGTGACTCAATTTCAAATGTCACTGTAAAAAGCTCTAGGAACACAGCATTCAAAGCTTGGTGAAATGGCAACTTCTGTTTCTCTTCATTTTCTTAGTAAAGGGGAATTCATATTCTTAGTAAAGGGCATTTTATGACATGCACTGTAATGTGACTGGTTTAATCTAGAGGTGGAACTGAGGCAATATATGACGAAAGCAGCGTCTGCTACTTCCTCTTCTCAGCCATGTTATTTACCTTGCTGCTGTGCAGTTTTAATTCCTCGCAGTTCAGGTTTTGAAAAGTCCACACTGCAAATGTCTGTCCTCACAAATGGTGTTTGACCCTGACAACAGTTGAGTCTTCTTGGTTCCTGACGGTCCTGTGAAGAACCAAGTTTGGTTTCACTGAATTTTAGTCTTCTCTTTTCTCAAAAGAAATGTAGCACAGATGATGACATCAGAAGCTTATTTTATGCTGTTGTGACATTAGTACAATGTGTTAACTTGGTGGTTTGTTAAATCCGTAGTCTATTTTCATGAGTTCTAATGCCAAGGTTTTTGGGTTAGTCCCTTAGTTCAGTAAAATATAGACGTTATATGTGGTCAATATTTTGGTCACTTTTCTCCCATGTACATGGATTTTGAATGGTTAATAGTTTTTGTGCATAAGAAGGGCCTAAACAGGACTTTTTCTAAACCACCTTTTGAGGAAATTACACCAAAGTGTCTCCTTGTTCCTTCTCTTCCTTCCTCTCCCCCACCCTTACCTCTCCCTTTCTTCCATTTTATTCCTGAACCTAATCTCTTTGACTAGAGGAAATTTTTATATTAAATCTAACTTGGAGCATTCATGTTTCCAAAAGAATATCACTGTGCCATAAACATTTTTCTGAAACTAAAGGACATGGCACTGAAATGAAAGGCAATTGGAAAAAAGGAGGAAGGGTGTATAGTTAGGACAGGATATTTATCATGTGTGATTCTCTGCTCTTGCCTTTTTCCCCTAATAAAATAAAGGGGAAGAAAGGGGTATTGGAGAAAAAGGAATGCTTTTGAACAGGAGGAGATGTAGTTCAACTGTGTGTATCATGCTACCCCTCTGGAGCAAGCCATACAGGAAATTTTGCAGCTTTGTAGTAAAAACATATTTTTTTTTGTTTCTGTGCTTTAATGTTTCTTTATAAAACAGTAGTTGATTTTCGTAATTCATTGACAAGTGTTTTTTCTTTTTAAATCACTATTAGATAACTTAATCTGGGCTTCTGCCATTTAACATCAGTTACTCTTTTTTTACTACTCAATGGACTGTGAAAATTGAACTGTTAATCTGTTAATGATTATGATAAATTAAAAACATACGAGAGTAGCTTCATCCACTGCACGATATAGTTACCTCCCTAGTGTGTAAAGCTCTTCTGTTTTTGTTTTTTTTTTTTGATACCTGTGGTTTTAAGGTCCTCTATTGTGAATCATTCCGAAGACCTGAAAGAGACTAATACATTGATTCTTTAAATGATAACTCTCCTCTCTATGCTGTTGGCTGCACTGCCTCATATTCTGTCATCAAAATGACAGTAATAATTTCAAGTACACTCCCAGCTGTGTTCCTCCTCTCTGCCATCTGGACCTGGCTAGGTTTACAAGATAGCAAGTTGCTTATCATCCAAGAGACTCTGTATTTCAATATTTTCCTATTTCCTTCCAATGGGAAAATTGCCATGCTTATCATTCCTCGCCTCCTGTTTTGGGAAAGGGAGATTTGAAGCTCTTCGGTTCTTTTTCCCAAGGTCGTTTCTTGATAAAAGCCCTGTAGGAAATTGTTTGGTGACCTAGAGAGTGTTGATATTTTTGCATTAGCTACTGTTAAAGTTAATTTCATTAGTCATAGGTTTGTTAAAAATATATCCACTTGGAGCAGCTACTGTTACCAACGTGAATATTCTTTAGAACTGTATTCTGCTTTAGAAAAGGAATAAATCTGATTAATGTGATTAATCTATTCCATCTGTTGCTATATCAACAATAAAACAATTAGTATGAATTTTTTAATGAAAAAGACCGATTATCTGATATGTCATGTTAAGACATGATCAGAACATAAGTCTTTACATCTTAAAAATCTTTGACAGTCTCAGAATTAGAGTAACTAAGGTGTTAAGAAAATCTGATAAATTGAAGTAATTCATGTTTTTGAAGTTGATCCATCCTAGATTTCAAGTACTAAAAGGTTTAAAGGTGTTTCCAAAGCATTTTATGTGTAAAAACCCTCATATATAATTATTATGATAGTAAAAATTTTAAAACCGCCTGAATATTTCCAAATAGAAGATGGGTTAAACTGTGGTATGTCCCAAAATAAAATATCCTTAAGATTTTGAATCCTGCATATGAAGGCAGTGGGAAAATGGCAGGAAATGGAATTGGATATGTGAAAAAGCAGCATAATATAATGTATAAAATAATGTACATAGATCAGTATATTAAATACTAATCCAGTTAAAATGTGTATAGGAAAAATCTTGGTAGGAAATATACCCATGATGCTTTTATTGTTTGAGTTTAGATGATTTTTCTTATCTCTACTCCCTTTTTCTCTTTTAATTTAAAAAACTGTATTCCCCACTTTAAAGTGGGGAAGAAAACTTACATCATAACAGCTGCAAACCTTATTTAGATTTGTTTGAAACCACGTACCGTGACATAATCGTTTTGCTCATTCATTCATTAATGCACCAAGGTATCTCCTGAGTACCTGCTAGGAGCATTGTTCTCGGTACTGAGAGATTAGAAGTGAACAAAGTAATGCCCATGGGGTTTATAGTCTAATAAATATTAAACCCTAAGATGCTTAGAAGCATACCCCTAACTATTGGTTTAAATTCACATCCTCACTGCCAACTTTAAAGGACATTTCCTGGTTAGTAATTTTAAAGGTTGCAGTCAACTTTTGTAGTAATATTTTTAAGGTTGCATTTTTTTAGCTTCTTATTAATTGTGTATTAATTGAAATCATTCCATATAAATTTCTAACAATTCTGTCGGCATTAAAATGTAACAATAGGGGTCCAGAAAGTACATTATCAGCTTTCTATTATTTTAACTCAATTAGTTCTTATTTGTGCCTCATGAGACATCTGCCCTTCCCTAATGTTTATTTTGCTATCTTTGAATTATGTGACTTTTTAAAATGGCTCCTCGTGTCCTTCCTTTGTTAGCACAAGCAAAGACAGAAGGCCGAGAGGGAACACATTTTATATACTAATCAGTTTCCTTACTGTCTCCCCCTGTGCCGCAGCCTGCACACACTCCCAGCGTGAGCTTGGGGGCCAGTTCAGTGCATGGGTACCACGCACTCCTCTCTGGGCCTTGAACACGTAGCAGTCCCTCTTTACCTGGCTCGCAATACCTATATATCCTGAAGTCTCAACGGCCATGTCATTCTTCCAAGAAATCTCTTCCTGACCTTCTCTCGGGGGTGAAGCATTCTACCCTGTTCTTCTCCAGAATGCTATGTTTTCTGTTTCCATCGACAACGTTAGTCTGACACCCTGCTCACCTGGTTATGTTGGATTGTAAGATCCAGGAGGGCAGGCACATGTTACCTTGTTTACCATTAAGTAAAGACTTGTTAAGTGAATGGGTGGTGATTTTTGTTAACATGAACATGACTGCCCTGGGGGGTGGACATTTAGTTTCTCAGTAGAAATAATATATTTTTAAATATAAAATAATAATATATAATGTTATTTATATATTTATTATAATATTTAATATTGCATTAAATATTATTTATTATATTACTATAATATTAATAATATATAAAATAATAATATAATATTTTAAAATATAAAAATAACACCATACTCACTTTGAAACAGAGTAATCACTTAATACTTTTCTTTCCCTATCCTCTCTCTCTCATTTTTTGGTCTGTATTAGGTGTCATCAATCTCACAGAAGAAGTGCAGTGGATCAAGGTCAATACAAACATGACTGGCTATTACATTGTCCATTATGCAGATGACAACTGGGAAGCACTGATCAAACAGCTGAAAATAAATCCTTATGTGCTGAGCGACAAAGATCGAGCCAGCCTCATCAACAACATCTTTGAACTTGCAGGGTAGAGTATGCTTGGCTTGGGTCTAATTTTGTTTCTTTCTTTTTTTTTAAATAAGTGTTCTCGAGGAAAAGGACATTTAAAAAAAGCAATTGAAAAGAGGCAGCATGTATTGCCTGATAGGTATAATTCACTTTGGAGAACTGAGAAGACAGAGCACACATCCGTTGTCTATCTAGAAGCTTCAGCACCAGCATATTGAACAGTTATAAGATTTAAATCATGTTTCAAGACTGTAGATACTGACAAGCACAACGCATAAATTTGCTGAATAAATGGATACAGAAGTTCAGGGTTTGCTTTACTTCATGAGAGAATTCTTTTCAAGAAGCCTGTGCTTTCAGTGTAAATCTTAGTGCTCATATAAGGCTCGTATGAGGCACGTCTTCAGAACTGGTGTACCACCCACCTCCTCAGCTGCCCCCCCAAGCTACACAAACCCAAAGCCCAGAATGGCAGTGAGCTCATGTGCCGATGTCCCCTGCAGAGGAAGATTGCCGACTTAGGTCGTCCGTGGGTCTAGACACGCAAAGAAAAGAAAGAAAGAAAGGGAAGTCACTTGGTTGGTTGTGTCCGACTATTTGCGACCCTGTGGACTGTAGCCCACCAGGCTCCTCTGTCCATGGGATTCTCCAGGCAAGAATACTGGAGTGGGTTGCCATTGCCTTCTCCAGGGGATCTTCCTGACCCAAGTATCGAACCCGGGTCTCCCGCATTTCGGGCAGACGCTTTACCCTCTGAGCCACAGGGAAGCCCAAGGAACACCCAAATGTGTCCCTTCTGACTGCTCTTGACCTTCCTCTCAGCCATCGATCTTGTGATTTCTGTCAAGTGGGTAATTTTTAAAAGGTGTTCACCATAAATTCACAGTGTCCCTCGCCCTAACAAGTTTGACAAAATTCCCATACAAATAACAAATTACTTTCTGATTCAGATCCTCTTTCTGCCACCTGATCAATATAAGTAACTAATGATAAGTAAAATTGGCACGCTTCATCATTTCTCATCTAAAATGTTATGATACTTTTCCTGAATCAGTAGCAATTTACAGGTGGCTTATAGAACAAAGAACTGAGCTGTTCATCTTTCTCCTGAAAGGTGTCTTTAACCTTGGGTCACACACTTAATCAAAGTGTGTGCAAACTTAATCAAAGGTATTTAGTCTAACTTCACATAATATTGGGCTTTCCTGGTGGCTCAGATGGTTAAAGAATCTGCCTGCAATGTGGGAGACCTGGGTTTGATCCCTGGGCTGGAAAGATCCCCTGGAGAAGGGAACAGCTACCCACTCCAATATTCTTGCCTGGATAATTCCATGGACAGAGGAGCCTGGCAGATTACAGTCCATGGGGTTGCAAAGAATCAGACATGACTAGCAACTTTGACTTCACTTCACTAAAGACTATGGAGCCATAGAATACCTACCACTCAAAGCTTAAATTTTAGGTCTTCAGGATCCCCACTCCCCCATCTAGCCATAGTTTCTCTCTCAGCGTGCATACTTTTTTGGCATATTTACTTTTCTGGCATATTTACTTTTTTGTTCTTTTACCCATTAGCCTAGGCAAGGTGTCTCTTCAGAGAGCTTTTGATCTGATTGATTATCTTAGAAATGAAACCTACACTGCACCCATCTCTGAAGCCCTGTTCCAGACAGAACTCATCTATAACCTCCTTGACAAACTCGGGCACATGGATCTGGCCTCAAGATTGGTGGTAAGTCTGCCTTTTTGCCAAGTTCTCTGTGTTGCGTGCCTTTACTGTTGTTATTCATGTTCCGTTCAGCAGTCATAGACTAAAAAAGCAGTTATATTCCATTTTCATCACTTTCCTGGTGCTGAAATCTTAACTTTGAATCAACATGTCATTTCTTACCATGAGGAATTGATAAAGGGTTAGCATGATGTATTCATGTCTGAATATCCAAGTATATAGACTTCTGACACTGCTGTCAAAATGAGGTCACATGAAAAATTTCTCTATTCAACTCTTGGTTTATTTATAATAAATGCTTGGAATAGGTCCTTTTGCAAAGTAGGGCTCCCCATTAATTTCCTGGTGGTCATTGTAAAATGACAACTATGTTTGTACTGGGACTACTCGGTTTTGGGGGTCCTCACTGATAACTATCTTATTAAGGATGGTGATGCTGGTTAGTTAATATAAGTTTCTTTGCAAAGCACTACCGGTTTTGGAGACTGTTTTACCTTTTTTAAAACCAATTGCCTGGTCTTAACAGTTGTTATTTTAGACACTTTTGGTATTAGATTTTGACCGTGTATTTAGAAGCTTGAGAAGGAGTGACAAATTCTTTGTCTTATCTAATTCTCTGAATCACATTCAGACAACAAGGTTGGCTTTACCAACTAGTCAGGTTTTCCAAAGACCAGGCAAAAGGCAGCTTTCAGGAAAAAGAAGGTGATGGGCCAGGAATTAGAATAAGTCTTTGAGAATTTTGGCATCCTCAATGGTAAAAGGAAGGGGCTGGATTGCACCTTAAAAAAAAAAAAAAAAATCCTCTTTTCTGCTGTCCTATTGTGCATCCCTTGTGATCCTCAGTGACAGGGAGGGAATACAGGGCTCGGGGCCATACAGAGCTTAAAAAGCCCCTTCCTTACAAGTTTCTGATCTGGCCTGCAAGCAGCCACCCCCGCTCCCTACCCATAAGTGAGACGCTTCAGTTAGATGATTTCTGAGGTATCTTCTGATTACCAAGATTTTTATCATTCTTCTGTTTCATAAGGCTTTCAACTACCAACCTTAATAGAAACCAGCCCCTGGAGTGTGACCTGGGCCACAGTGACCCTCAGTAAATGGGGGATGAATGAGTGAGTGGAACAAGTACATTTCAGTGCTCACTGTACCCTGCACACCCTGCTCACTGCTTAATGCAGATAACCTCGTTTAACCCTCACGCAGCAGCAGATAGATATTTCTGCCCTCATTAACACAGATGAGGAGACTGAATAATTTCTCCAAAGTCACTTACCTCGTGAAAGATGAAGCTGAAGACTCAGACCCAGATTGCTTTCACGCCAGATCCTCCTCTTTTTGTTACAAGGCCGTATTTTAATGTGTTCTAGCTTGTCATCTACCAGAGGATACCCTTTTATTGGAAGAATCAAAGCTGTTTCTTGCTATATTTTCCCCTCTTTTACAGTGATATTTTAAATTAAAACAGTTTGAAGGCTTGGTAAACGTCATGATGGCAAAGGTCACTCTTCTGCCTACCTCTCTCCATCAATGTGTTGGGGGGCCTGGTGTCAGGGGGCATTTGGTACTTAATTCAGGCTGTTCCTGTGCTGAAAGCACAGATGCGGAACTCAGTTCCAGCAGTTAGATCTTTTGAATAGCTTCCTGCTGTGACACTCAGCTAACTCTGCATCTTCATCTCAGATGATGATTTCCAGTTTGCCGGAGAGGTATGTGTTTATTCAGGACATGGCAGAACATACCAGTCCATGGGACTGGTGGTTAGAGAATCCGAACAGGAGGCTTCGTGTGTGTTTATGAGACCTTTACCATTGTACATCTTCATGCACTTGACTGGCATGACAGTTAAAAGTTGTGATGAGTTTAAAGTTATGACAGTTAAAAGTCATGATGGCTTTAATTCAGGAAGAGAAACTCTCTCTTTAAAATTCTTGTTCTGATCTTAGGGCATTCGAGTAGGATCAAAATTCTCAAAATATGAAATGTGACCCACTGTAGATGAGATTGGGATGGCAGAACCTTCTGAGACCTCGGATCCAATCATCAAGTAGTGTTTGTGATTAAGACTGATGTCTAATTAATTTTTTAAGTTAGTGTCATGAGAGCATTGTGTGCATTTATTGATCATTTTGTTATGTAGGCTACACGGACCCGTATAACACATATTACCTGTATATCACATTTTGTGATGTCTGCTCTGATATATGATGGGTAGAATCTGGAGGCATATTTGAATTGTGTCAAATTGTTCACATCTGATGCTAAAATCTGATCTCAGCCATATTCCTGTTTCATCACTTATAACTCTGTCATCCTTTTACATATGAGGAATTGATGGGATAAACCTTTTGTAATAAAAGTTGACAGTTCACTTTTAAGAAGCTCAGCTAACCCAAGAAAGAACTCCCTGGGAACATCAGTGTAAAATTAAAGCAGTAAATCAAAATGTAATAAATAACATAAGTGCCAGCATCTTGCCCTGTTTTATTTTTAAAGTCATTTTGTGTCATTGTTGTTGCATTTTACTGCATGTATGTACATTGTATGACTCATCAGTTTATTCCCTCTCCCTACCATCTTCACTTTATGAAATCAGAGGATTGAATTCTGATGCTTAATGAGTTTCGATTTCAAAAAATTAATGTAGAACAATAGAAAAACAGGTTGAATTTTACTTATGAAAGGGAAAGATAATTTGCAGCACTTGCTATGGTCTATTAACATTAAAAATATAACCTTGATTACTTACAAAAATATTTTATAATTGAAATTTCCTGAAAACAGAACTATTATTTTTTTAAATAAAGTCTTTTATGTTATCATTTGATTTTTTTTTTTTTTTTTTTGGCTGCACTGCATAGCTTGTCAGACCTTACTTCCCCAATCGGGGCTCAGATCTGGGGTTTGGCAGTGAAAGTGTTGAGTCCAAGCTGTTGGACCACCAGTGAATTGCCCTGAAATATATTTAGAAATCAGCAATTTGGGGACTTCTCCTTGACTCTTGGGTATGGGCCGTAAGTAAGAAAGTTACACCCCATGACTGCAAAGGAGTAAACGCCCAGGGATTGGCTACAGCATCGCTTGAGGTCTCCCCCGCTTCCAGTGTTTTGAAGTGCCTTTTTCCCCACTGCTTTCTTCGTTTTAGTATAAACTCTCAAGGGTGGTTGCCATTTTTCTCCACTGTTTATTTGTTGCTGCTGTTAATGGTTCTGCGAGTATGGGAGGTTTCCTTTTCGTCTCTCATTCTTCCTTTGTTTCTGTGTGACAGTTAGGAGTAGCTTGTCACTCTTTCATTTGTCATAGTGCCATCATGATGCCACTGAGAAGGTCAGGCCAGCGGAAGACAGCGTGTGCCGGTGCAGGCACGGGTACCCCGCAGGGGCGCCCGCACAAGTGAGCTTCGCTGCACCGTCAGTCAGCGTGGCAAGTGGTTTTTCCCACCACTTCACACCCTCCCGGGGACTGCAAGCCTGCACACATCCCACAAGGCGTCTGTTCTGTTTCATTGCCTTTGAGGCAGGCAGACAGAAGGGAATTGCCCCGGTATCACAAACTTCGCATCCTTCTTATACAGATGCTTTCTCCCCTATTCTCATAGTCAGCTCCACAAAAGACTTACGCAGACCTCAGAGAGAGGTCTGCTGAGAAAGCGGCCTCAGCAGTTTAAAACTCTCCGACTAGGCTTCATTTTAAGTATCGACAGAGGCTCTCTAGAAGAATATTATGCTCTGTAAAGAATTTGAACTAATTTGGAGGGCGTTTAAGAGGCTTTGTACATCTGTGGTGCTTGAAATAAGACTGGTCGTGGTAGACTTCCAGGACCAGTGACAGAAAACCCTCTTGTGCCGAGAACACTGCAGGAGGGGATGTCTGTAAACTGGTTTCATTTTGATCCTCCTCATTTGTTGCCATGAAAGCTATATAAAAAAATACCTATAAGCATGTTTATATTAGAATTTTGGTTCCTTTCAGTGAATTCACAAATGCATATTTTACATGATGATTTTTAATGTTCCCTGTGTCCTCTTTCCCTCCCCTCCACCACAGCTTGGAGTATGGAAATAGTTCCATATATTATGAACAGCTTTCATGCCTTTGTTGTGGGAAGAGATGAAAAAGAAATAAGAGATCTGTTGGTTTCTTAAAACCATTGCTGTTGTTTTAGTAGCAGTCACGTCTAACTTTTTTTCGACCCCATGGACGGTAGCCCTCCAGGCTCCTCTGTCCATGGGATTTTCCAGGCAAGAATCCTGGAGAGGGTTGCCATTTCCTTCTCCAGGGGATCTTCCCGACCCAGGGGTAGAATCCATGTCTGCATTGGCAGGTGGTTTCTTTACCACTGAGCCACCAGGGAAGCCTTAATACCATAAATACATACTTAAGAATGAGATCTCACTCAAAAGTAATTATAACAATGGACTTTAATTATAGATGATTTTACTGAATAACCGGTAATTTTCTTAAGTGTGATAAGGTATTATGGTTACATAAGAGAATGTCCTTATTTCTGAGAATTGCATGTTAAATTATTTATAAATGGAATCTCATGATATCTGTAACTTGCTTTCATATGGTTGAACTAAACCCAGAAAAACCAAGTGTGTGTATATTTGTGTTATACACAAATGTAAGAGTGCTAACAAAAACAGTGAATCTGACATACGGCTATTCATTTTACTATTCTTGTGGCTTTTCTGTAGACTTGAAAATTTTTAAATAAAAAGTTGGGGAAGGAGGAAAAATAACTTACAAACAACTGTTCTTCCCTGCAGGCCTAATTTTCTTAATTTGATTAGATTAATGTTATAGCATCAAGCTAGATGATACTTTAAATATTCCTTTAATAATGGATTCAGAAACATTTAACCACCTACGCATTCAGAAAGAAGTGTATTTTTCTCTCATTGCTTAATGGATTTATGGATGCTAAAGTCACCAGGTCAGGAAGTTTCAGCTTTCTTCCAGCAGTGGTTATAGATGATACTTCTTGGCAGGAAAGCAGCTTCTAGCTGAGTATACACAGAAGAAATGTTCCCTACTGCACAAAGTCATTAATTCTTTCTGTCCTATGTCATTAAGTCCACCTTGGCTGGAGCAACCTTATCTATAGCCTTAGTGATATTGAATGGTTTCATCCCAACCACTTGTGAGCTTCATATGTCAGTTGTTATTTAAGTGAGTAATATCTATGTCCCCCGCTTTTTTTTCTTTTTGAGTAAATGTAGGGAAAAAAAGAGATCTTGTCCTGATTTTCCTGGTTGCCCTCATTGTTATGACTCTGTTATGATCCATTCTGTCTCTCTAGAACAAGGTATTTAAATTGCTTCAAAGCCAGATCCAACAGCAGACTTGGACTGACGAGGGCACCCCGTCTACTCGAGAGCTGCGGTCGGTCTTGCTGGACTTCGCTTGCACCCACAGCCTGGAGAACTGCAGTGCTGCTGCCTTGAAGCTCTTCAATGACTGGGTGGCGTCCAATGGCACTCAGAGGTGATGTATGCTTTTGCTCTTGTGGGCCCCACAGCATGTAGTGAAACCAGGATCTTTATGTCCTGAATCATAAAGGTTATAAAGCCGAGCATTAATGTAGGTGAACTCTAGGTACTTGATTCTCAAACCAGACTATTGTTTTAATTGTGATCAAATCCATATAGACTTTAGTATCGTAACAATTTTAAGTGTGCAGTTCAGTAGCGTAAGTATATTCACATGGTTGTACAACGAATCTCCAGAACTTTTCCACCTTGCAAAACTGAACAAGACAACTGCTCCCCATTTTCTCCTCACCCAAGCCCTTGGCAGCCACCATTCTAGCTTCTGTTGTAGGAGTTTTACTGCTCTAAGCACCTCACATAAGTGAAATCATACACAAAGTGTCTTTTTGTGCCTGGCTTTCAGTTCAGTCACTCAGTCGTGTCCGACTCTTTGCAATCCCATGGACTGCAGCACGCCAGGCTTCCCTGTCCCATCACCAACTCCTGGAAGTTGCTCAAACTCATGTCCATCATGTCAGTGATGCCATCCAACTATCTCATCCTCTATCATCTCCCTCTCCTCCTGCCTTCAGTCTCCTTGCATCAGGGCCTTTTCCAGGGAGTCAGTTCTTCACATCAGGTGGCCAAAGTATTGGAGTTTCAGCTTCAGCATCAGTCCTTCCAATGAACACCCAGGACTGATCTCCTTCATGTCAGTGATGCCATCCAACTATCTCATCCTCTATCATCTCCCTCTCCTCCTGCCTTCAGTCTCCCAGCATCAGGGCCTTTTCCAGGGAGTCAGTTCTTCACATCAGGTGGCCAAACTATTGGAGTTTCAGCTTCAACATCAGTCCTTCCAATGAACACCCAGGACTGATCTCCTTTAGGATGGACTGGTTGGATCTCCTTGCAGTCCAAGGGACTCTCAAGAGTCTTCTCCAACACCACAGTTCAAAAGCACCAATTCTTTGGCATTCAGCTTTCTTTATAGTCCAACTCTCACATCCATACATGACCACTGGAAAAACCATAGCTTTGCATAGATGGACCTTTATTGGCAAAGTGATGTCTCTGCTTTTTAATATGTTATCTAGGTTGGTCATAGACAACCTAATAATGTCCTCAAGATTCATCCATGTTGTAGCATATGTCAGAATATCCTTTCTTTTTAAGGCTGAGTAACCCACTGGATGTATATACCACATTTTGTTTTATCTCTTCACCCACTGATAGACATTTAGGTTGCTTCCACCTTCTGGCTCCTGTGGATAATGCTGCTATGAACATAGGTGTACAGATACCTCTTTGAGACCTGCTTCATTTCTTTCATATATATACCCAGGAGTGGTATTGCTGGGTCATGTGCTAGTTCTATATCTAATTTTATAAGAATACCCATAATGTTTTCCAGAGGGGCTTCACTGTTTTCCATTCCTACCAGCAGCGTACAAGAGTTCCAGTTTCTCCACCTCCTTGACAACACTTATTCTCTGAGCTTTTGATAGCCACCCTCCTAATAGCTTGAGGCATCAAACAGGTCTCTCTTAATTTAGGAATAACACATAGCAGGTGGCATTAGCAGTTAGTAGAAATGTTTTTATGCTGATTGGTTTTCGCCAGGTTTCTTACTGGGTATATGGGAAAAGATTCAAACACCAGGTGGAGACTTGGGGTGTAGGATATTGGGGTAACCTGTTGAAGCCCTCTCCAGCTCTGAGATCTTAATTAAGACAGAAAACTGTGCTCCTACCCCTGTTCTCGCCCCTTCTGCTACATTTGCTGATAGATTTCTACCGTGGGACATATCACGCTGTTATGATATCTGTATTTATCGTTCTGTACTTGATGATAGCTCATGAGCCTCCCAGCTCCTGACTGTCTTATTCTTTTTCCCTGCTCACAGCATCCAGCCAGTTGCCTGCCTGGTTCTTTGTGGGTGACAGTGAATGATTACTGTATTGAATTAATATGCTTTTTAGTTGCATCACTAGGAAAGGAGTAGCCACTGGATTAATCATTTTCCTGACAATTAATTATACAGTGAAGACTCTTTCTTATTACCTGTTCAGTCCCCAAAGCACTGCCCCTGATCAGTTCCTTGCCTTTGTATTCAGTGTTTTTTTCTGGTTGTTCTCATATCGGACCACCTCTCTTACAGCCTGCCTACGGATGTCATGACGACCGTGTTCAAGGTTGGAGCAAAAACTGAGAGCGGCTGGTCATTCCTCTTAAGCAAATACGTCTCTCTAGGCTCTGAAGCAGAGAAGAATAAAATACTCGAAGCTCTTGCCAGCTCAGAGAATGTACGGAAGCTTTACTGGTATGAAGCCACCAAAGGACTATGATCTATGGGAACCAAACGCGTCAGAGCACAGAGACCCTCGAGGCAGGGAATCCCTTCTCCTCCTTTTGCTCCCAGGCTAGGCCTGACCTGGGCAGTGGGGTGAGGAGACCCCACGAGGGGTTCATCTCAGGGACCAGACCTCTCCCCACAGGCGACAGTGCTATGCCCAGAAGGAACTGGAGATGCCAAGAGTCACAGCCCTGCTTTCTTCTTAAATATGTCTTCCTCCCCTTGGCACGTTGTCTTTAATTCCACACTTGGCGCTTCATTCTTTCTGGGCAAAGGCACGGTTCTGTCCCAGCCATCTCTTTGAAAATGCAGACACTTCAGGAAAAGGTACTATGCAAAAGCTTACAGGTTACACCATCAGGTGAATCTGCCCGACTTTTTAATTACTCGGTTGAGGAAGACCTGGGAATGGAAGGCTCATGTGAGGAAAGAAGGGCAGTGAGAAGGTGTCCCGACAGGAAGAACAGGGGAAAGGCGCTCTGAGTCGCACTGGAAGAGTCTTGAAAGTCAGTGCCCAGAAAGGGGTGGGGGGAGGCGCTGGGGTCTTGTTGCTTCTCTTGTACAGTTTTGCTCAGATAAATCATGATAGTGTCCCCGAGATGTCTTCAGCAGCTGCCCAGACCCAGTTTCCAAAGGATGCACTGTAAATGGTCATTTTCTTGAAAGTAGTAGCCAGGCTCTGACCCAAGCAAACAGAGAAAAGATTTACTGTTTTTAAACCAGTAATAATTTTGTTTTAGACCAGGAATATGCTGATAAATTTCCACTCTAAAAGCTTTACACAGTACCTAAGAAGTGGAGTGGGGCTTCCCCGGTGGCTCAGAGGTTAAAGTGTCTGCCTGCAATGCGGGAGACCTGGGTTTGATCCCTAGGTGGGGAAGATCCCCTGGAGAAGGAAATGGCAACCCACTCCAGTATTCTTGCCTGGAGAATCCCATGGACCGAGGAGCCTGATGGGCTACAGTCCACGGGGTCGCAAAGAGTCGGATACGACTGAGCGACTTCACTCACTCACTAAGAGATGGAGTAACACAGCAAATGATCTCGTTTGAGCCTTCACTTCCGTTCTCATCCTCTCCTCTGTTAACACGGCAGTCCTGGACTTGGACTTACTGCTTTATTCTGTGCCCAGTGTTTTGTGACATTCGTTTAGTGAATGATCAGTCTTTGAGATTTGCTGCAAAGCCTACTCCATTTTTTTTAATAGCTGTGTATTATTCCATAATATGGCTCTATCATAGTTTATTCAACCCATCATGTCTTGATGAGCAGTTGGGGTTTTTTTCCTGTTAAAAATATTGCTGCATTCTTTTAGGGGTATGTGTGTTCTCATATAAGCAGATATTATCACATAGCAAGTGCTTATGTTCAAATGCCTAACTTTTATATTTATTAGCAATAGCTGTGTCCCTGGGGTAATTATATAACCTCAGCTTCTTAAACTATAAAATGTGGATAGATAGTAATGACCTATTTCAAACATTGTTATTCAGTAATTTAGAACATTATCTAGTACAGATATCAGTATCAATTTATTGAGTGCATTCTGAAAAGTATCCTCATTTTTATATGACAGCCCAGTTTAAAAGTAATAAGATACCTCCCTACTCAAAGTTTTTAACAGAAAAAACACAACCAGCTTTCAGAATTATAATAAATTCTACTGGAGATTATATCCTAAATGTCCTTTTTTTCTCCCTAAATGTCCTTATTACATCAAGAACAATTTATTACTATGTAACAGTATATTAATGTGTTTATCTCATTGGTTTTTCCTTCACGTAGAAACATGACAAGTTTTCACTGTTAATGAAGCTTAGACGGAACCAAAACTTATATCTCTTGAATTGCCACAGAGCTTTAATTAGGAGACCGGTATTATTTTAAATTCAGTCATCACTTCATCATGAATAATTATTTTGGAAGCTCAATCTGCTCTGCTCTCCAGGTTGATGAAAAAGAGCCTCGATGGAGATCTCATCCGAACACAGAAGCTGTCGTTCATCATTAGGACGGTGGCCCGGCGTTTTCCTGGACACTTGCTGGCCTGGGATTTTGTCAAAGAGCACTGGAGTAAGCTTGTGCAGAAGTGAGTTGCTCAGAGAATTACTAATTTTCAGTACTCGCAAGCCTTGCATCTGAAAGCAGTCCCCAGGGTTGTATTAGTTCAGAAGAGTCACGCTTTGCTGCGAAAGGAAAATGCTTCAGTGAGAGTTTAACGAACACGGAAATAGTCACATTTGTAAACAACATTCCGTAATGCGAGTCAATTTAACAATGGTGTTTTGTTTAAGTAATCAAACTAATCAAGCCCAACCTTGCTCCGCAAGAGCTCACTTAGCTTAAGTGAGTGAAGTCGCTCAGTCGTGTCCGACTCTTTGCAACCCCATGGACTGTAGCCTACCAGGCTCCTCAGTCCATGGGATTTTCCAGGCGAGAGTACTGGAGTGGGTTGCCATTGCCTTCTCCAGGGGAATCTTCCCAACCCAGGGATCGAACCTGGGTCTCCTGCATTGCAGGCAGATGCTTTGCCGTCTGAGCCACCGGGGAAGCCAGCTCACTTGGCTTGGCCACGGACTATTTCAGAATGGCTGTTTAGTTTCATGTGTTGCAAACACCTCTTCATTACCAAGGGATCGTTTACAAACTCAGACCCAGCTCAACAGCACAAGTCGCTCATTTTTCCTTTTAAATCAGTAATGACACCTTCTGGGTGTATGATGCTGTTTATGAGGCAAACGTGGACTGTTAATTTCTTTGGCTCTCCTACCTACTGGGAGAGGTGTGTGTGGTGACTCCCGATGCACCAAGCCCCCCAGTTCCCAGGAGCAGGACTCCACTCTGCCTCGGGCATGTGGAGTTTACAATAAGCATGTCCTTTGCACTCAGGAACTTGGCTTACCAGCAGCTGACTCATTCCTTTTTGCCTTTTGCCCTTACGTTTGTGTTTCTTCAGGTTCCATCTGGGGTCCTATACCATACAAAGTATCGTTGCTGGATCCACTCACCAGTTTTCAACAAAGGCACATTTATCTGAGGTTGGTTGCATCAAATGCTGTTGGGGAGACCAGGCCATCCCTTCGCCCTCAGGGTGCTCAGTATAAGTCAGATGGTGGTTTCCTCTGCCAAGCCCCGTCCCTTCTGTCTGTCTGCCTGCATCAGGGCTAATGATCCTGCGCTGGGATTATTTCTAAAGGGTGGATATACAGCAAGGAGGAAAAGTTCTGCTTCTGTCCTCCACAGTATTCCATTGTCTCCCATCTGATACAGATGATTTTTTGAATTAAGATCAACATATGCCAAGTTTATTTTTAATTGGCGATTCGACTGTTTTTGAAGAGTTCCATTCAGAGGGTAAAATTAGACCCCAGGCCTAACTTTAGACTCTACCTTATTTACTGTCACTTGGCCTTTCCACCCTCCCCACCCCCCAACTTGAAATTTGAAAAATTCATCCTTGTGGGAGTAAGGGGAATTCCTTTTTAAAACAGCTTCACATCAGCATGACCATCACTGAGTTAAAGCTTATTTGAAAAGGATATTCAAAGCTGCGGTATACCATTCTTTTCTTCTTTTGAAATACTTCTGTGTGCAACTTACAGGTCCAGGCATTCTTTGAAAATCAGTCCGAGGCCACCTTTCGACTTCGCTGTGTCCAGGAGGCGCTGGAAGTCATTGAGCTGAACATGCAGTGGGTGGAGAAGAACCTTAAAACCCTGACATATTGGCTGTAGCGTGCACCACCCGTTCAGAGAGCTTGTTAACTGGGCCTTTGCTGCTTCTTAAAAGCCAAGGTGAAACCAGGATCGCTGCTGAGTTATTTGCACTCTTAGGAGTTCTAGTTTGCTCAGGGCCAGTCTGTATTTTTTCATCTGTCTTTTCTGAAATGTCTTTGGGCAGTGTGTAGTTATTTATTACCAAATTACATTCACCTGTATGCCAACCATCTACAAAAACAATGGGTAATTTTTCTACTTTGAAGATATTCAAATGGGGGGGGAAAAAATCTGTTTTGCAATTCTGTTCTCAGTTTCTGGCTAAAGGTTGACACCGTGAACTAAGGAATGGGAGCCACCATCTTTGCAGGCTGCGGGTTGGTTAGCCATTTGTTGCTTCTTGTTGATAGATATTTGAATGGTTCCAAGTTAGCATCAAAAAGTACAGTAATAAAGTCATTGAATCATGCAGCTGTAGAGAACTGACCTCAGGTGTGCGGATCTACTTTGGGGGGTTTGAATAATCCTTTCTTTTCTGGAAAAAGTTTATAACTATTATATTTTTTTCTGAAGAATAGTCAGGTGCTACAGAATTTTTAAATTTTTGTTGTAAAGCTAAATAACAAGGCCAAAAGATTTAATTTTCCAAATATTTAACACCTTCTTTTTCATCTTTCAGGAAAATATTTCAAACCGAGTTAGCGTTAATATTTTACTTAGGAATTCCAGTGTTCTCCAAATCTCTGTACACCTTTATCACTCCCTGCCATAGATATCCCTTATGTTATAAATAAGTATTTCTGCATTTATGGCATTTTTTTTTAATACTGGTGTCTCTTATCATGACTTTCTTACTAAGAATTACAGTTTACAGTTTGTTTAAGTTGCTTTTTGGCATGATAGATCACAGACACTTTCTCTTAATCATACCCATTGAGTGGTTTTTCATTTTATGTGATAGAGTTGCATATTAGAAGTATATTTTAAAATAGGGCCTTTGAGAAATTGAACATTTTTATTTGAAGTTCACCATAGTACCTTAAAGGAATAAAGAGAATGTGGATAGGAATAACTTGATTTAGGTTTAATATGGTGGGCTTTGAATTTTTTCTACTGTCAGAAACAGTACTTTTCTTTAGTTGAAAAATCAAAGTTTTCTTTTGTAATGGCCAAACTAACAGATTATAGGCAATGGCCAAGGAAAGAAAGAAAGTATCCAAAACTATATGGCAATTTTACTCCTTCTAAAGGGGAAATACTGTACTTGAATTTTTTGAGCTATGCAGACTTATACCTAGATTGTTGTGTTTCTTTGATTCTTAGGAGAAAAGCTTTCTCCCTAGTATTTATTGTACTTTCTATTTTGCTTGAAAACACCTACGTACATAAAAAGGGTATTTACCCATTTTTCAGCACTTAAAACACTCCACTGAATCAGACAATGGGAAAGGTCACCTTTTTTTTTATTTAGCAGGTATCAAGTGAGAATATAGGAATTATGTATAAAATTATATTTTATTTTATGAAAATATTTTTATATAGCAAAATTGCAAAGACTGGCAATAGAAACTAAAGATAACCTTCTTTAGCCCTAGTATGTTTTCTCCCAATTTAGAGTTTTCTAAACAGCACTTATCTCTGTATTTTAGAGTAGAAAATACTGTTATCTGAGAATCAGAGAATCATCTGAAGATGTTTTTTTGAAACTAGGGTGATTGTAGGTCTTTATTCCTCTTGTGCTTCAGTAAATGAATGATAATTTAGTCGATATTTGTAAGTGTGTTTTTATATTTTTAGAGTGGGGAAAAATACTAAAATTTTGGAGGATTTTTTTGTTGCTGGGTTGTTGTTTTTTTTTTTAACCATATTACTAAAGTCCACTTTGATACAGAGTTTAAACTTTGCTACTTCTCAAAATCATTTAAGATTCTTCCATTTTGCCTGCCCATCTTCACATTGTTTCTATAATATTTGTTAGCTCTGCATATGGCAAATCTTGTCTTGAATTATATCATTCTTTCCTGGGAGTGTGTGTGTCAGGAGCGGGGTGGAGGTTGTTATAATTAAAACTTTATCAAAGCATGGGCTAAAAAGGAGGTAACTCAAAATCCATTTCTATCTTTGTACTCAAAAGCCATTCATTCCCATAATACCAGATCCATACCAACTGTATTTTTCATTTATAGGCCTCACCTCAGATTTTCCTGTGAGATTCCATACTTTTTTAATGTTATGCTATCCCATCTATACAGGGCTTCCAAAAACCAACTCTTAAGTCGGGAATATAAGGTTAAATGATGGGTAGACCATGTGGTATGATAAGTATTGTTGGAGCTTTTGAAGTTTTTCCCCCCAGAATTTTATTTCACCACTGTATTTCTGAGAACTCAGATAGAAGCACAGCAGTTCTCTGTTATGTGAGCACACACCATGACACATTTCAGTACTGTCTGACGAGTGTTACTTACATTCATTGCAGAGAGAGTCGACTTGAATTAATAAAAAGACACATCATACTATATTATTAGGAAAGACAACATTGGAAATCTGGGACTGTAGAAGAAAAGCTTAGGCTTTGGAAATCTGAAAGGCTATGAAACTAGAAACGCAAGGAGTTCAGTTTGTTGATACCTAGTTGCTTGCTAATACCAACTGATTAGATACAGTAAACTGAAGTAGAGTCAGCAGCTACTGTAAGCTTGTGCTTTGCTCCATCTTTAAGCAAAATTGTGTTGTTTGCCACTGTTTTGGTGTTCACGAGCTTTCTTACTGTCGCAGGTTCCTCTTAACACTAATGTTCTTCACCATTCGTGTTTTCACGTGTACTTTAGCCACTGTGGGGACAGAGCTGTCAGAAGAGTTCTGGGTATATACTGAGCCACATCAGTCTTTCTGGGTGCAGGACAGAATCCTTTCTGAACACTGGAAAGGAAGAAATGAAAGTTAAGTGCTGAGTTTGCTGGGTTACAGAGAGCCTGGTCCTGAGTTAGCTTCTGAGCATCTAGTTGATCTAATGCACATGGAACGATAATCTGTAGTCAGGTTGCTGAATATTTACATAATCCTCGTGTATGTCATGGGGGTGCAGGGAAGGTGTATGCATCTCAGGAGATGTGCAGACAGCAATTTCTGGGCTGAGTTTGCAAAACAAGACCTGAATTTCATAGGTATGATGTAGTTCTCCCCTTTGCCTTTTTTTTTTTTTTTAATTGGAATTAACTCTTTTCTTCCTCCTTTACATCCCCATTTGTATTTTTAAAAGCCTACGTGTTCACTTTTGCTGGGTTTTGCTTTCTTTTCTTTTGTGCTTCATTCTCTTCATTGGCAACTAAGTACCAGATGAAAAGTGGAAGTCCGAAAGTATGATAAACCTCCTCTTCTCCCCTTCCCTTGTTGCCTATGTGGGCAATAGCTCAGAGTAGTTGATTGATTTCTTTGAGCGGTTCTTTGGGGGTATTTACTTTTTAAATGTATGCATGTGTTTCGATGTTTTTATATTCTTTCATCTTAGTATAGTTTATCCTGATGAAAAGTGAAAGAGACATTCTCCTGTGAAAATCTCTCTTAGCCTTTCAATTTTTCCTGCCTGGGCAATAGCTACAGAGTAGTTACTTGATTTCCTTCTTTGGAGGGAGATGGTCATAGTGAGAGAAGAGCAGAGTATGTTCTTTTTAAAATGTGTCTAAATGTGTTTGCCACTATTTTGTGGGTGTTTGAATTTTAAAGTAGTTTGGGCTTTCCTTCATCCTCCTCATGGATAAGTAGAGATCTAATTTACCGTGAAGGTCCCAAAGTATGACGAATGTCTTATCTGCCCTCTCCTTATTGCCTGTATGGACATACCCGAGTGGTTGTAGTTTCCGTTGTTTTGATCTAGTCTGTTCTTGAGGGCAGGGATGGGGGAGGGATGTACATTCTTTTTTTCAAGTGTATATAAATATTATGCCACTTTTTAGTATCTTATTTTAGGTGTGTTCCTTTGCATGAATGCATATGTACTTAATGAAAAGGGAGCTTCAGAGTATGACAGATCTCCTCTTCCCTTTTCCTTACTGCCTTTTTGGGCAGTAGCTAGAGTAGTTTTTGTTTTGTGAGTTGGGAGACAGTGGGGTATGTACTTAATGTATATAAATAAATCTGTAACTTTGTATTATAACTAATCATTTCGTACTATGTCCTTCTCATAGGACGTGAAAGTACCTAATGAGACGTGGAGGTCCACATGTATGACAATCTCCTCTTGACCCCTTCCCGTGTTGCCCGAGAGGGCAATGGCTAGTAGAGTAGTTGATTAGTTTCAGGGGCTCTTTTGTGGGTATTAGGGTAAATGCTTTTAAATACATATACTCATGTTTTTGCTTCCTTATTATAGTATTTCATTTGGTACCCAGCTCTCCACCCGGGGGCTTCCCTGATGGCCCAGCTGGTGAAGAATCTGCCTGCAATGTAGGAGACCCGGGTTTGATCCCTGAGTTAAGATCCCCTGGAGTGTGGGATGGCTCCCCACTCCAGTCATCTGGCCTGGAGAATTCCATGGACAGAGAAGCCTGGCGGGCTACAGTCCATAGGGTCGCAAAGAGCCGGACCCGACTGGGTGACTTTCACTCACTCACTCTCCTTCACTTGGACTGGTAGGTTGCTAATGAACCACAGAGTCTGGATACAGAGCAGTCTTCTCTCCTTTCCCTTTTTATCCATGTAGTCAATAATTTTAAAGTAGTTTGGGCTTTTAGAATTTTTTTTGGCGGGGCGGGGGGGGGGCTGGGAAGGGACTGAGGCAGGATATATTCTTTTGAAATCTGTATATATACAGTGCCTGTTTCTATATCATGTTATTCTGTTTGGCACTTATCCCTTGCTTGGATGTGTAGGTACCTAACGAGATGTGGAGGTATGGATGTAGGAAAATCTTCTGTCTTCCCCTTTCCTTGTCACCTCTGTGGATAATAGTTGTAGAGAAGCCTAGATTATTTTTACCTCTATCACTCCCTTGCCTGGGAGCATAGGAATATGTACTTTTTACAATGTATATAAATGTTTGTGTTCCTTTTTTTTGTTAGTTCATTTTGTACCTAAACCTTTCCAGGGATTCTTAGGTACATGATGAAAATTAAGGTTCATTCTATGAAAAAATCTCCTCTTCTCCCCTTCCCTTATTGCCTGTCTAGGCAATGACTAGTAGCGTAGTTGTTTGAAGAATTTTTTGCAGGGGGCAGAGTGGTGAGGGTTTCTGGGTTTGCTTGTGTGTTCAAACGTTTGCTGCATTTATTTGTGCTGTCACTTCAAGCCTAGTGTCTTTTTTGACTCCTAAATATGAAATACAATGCAGAGGCTCAGATAGGGGTGTAATAAATCTCGCCCCCTTCCTCTGTAGCCTGTGCATACCGGTAGTATAGGAGTACTTGAGGATTTGGTTTTCTGTTGTTTGTTTTTGAGGTTTTTAATGGGGGGTGAGCTTGTTAGGCAAGATACCTAAATTTTTTAAATGTATACAAATGTTTCTGCCTCTTTTGGTGTTCATTTCATCTTGAATCCAGTCTTTTGCATGACTCTTTAGGAACTTAATGAAAATTGAAACTGATTCTATGAAAAATTTCCTTACTCACTTTCCCTCATTGGGTAGTGGCAGAAGAATAGGCGTTCAGCTTCTGTTTTTGGAGCAGTAGGGATGGGAGGGGTGTGTGTGTGTGTGTGTGTGTGTGTGTGTGTGTGTGTACATATATATACACTTTTTAAATGTATAAATGTTTGCTACATTTTTTGTGTTATTTCATCTAGTACCCAGTTCTTTGCTGGGATCTGTAGGTATATAATGAAACATGGAGGTCCAGATGTATGATAAATCTCCTCTACTCCCTTCCCTGGCTGCCTACATGGGCAGTAGTTCAGCAATTTAGGAATTTTTTCTTTTCTTTTTTGTTTTTTTTAGAGGGAGGAATTATTGGGTGGGTAGTAGTTAGTGGGGAGGGACGGGTTATGCCCTTTTTAAAAGTGTATATAAATGTTTCCATGTTCCTGATTTTATACGTAGTCCTTTGGGTGGATGTCAAGTTACCAAATGCAAGTTGAGGAGAAGTGTATGACAACCTCCGCTTCTCCCCTTCCCCTTGTTGCCTGTGTGGTAACAGCAAGTAGAAGAGTTGTATGTTTGCTTGTTTTATAGAGGTTTATATTTTTGGCAGGGGAATATTCTTAATATACATGAATGTTTTCATTTGTTGCTTTATGTTGTGTTCAGTCCTTTACATGGCTATGTAGGGAACTAATGAAAATTGACACTCTTAGATGAGCAGGTTACTTTTCTTCCTTTCCCACATATTTGCTCCTTCAGCTGGAGCTAGTGTAGTTACTATTTTGTGGCTATTTTTATTCTCTCAGATATATGCATTTAAAGTTGTAAGTGTATACATGCACGTATATGATTTGCTTCTTTTCTTCCCCTGTTATTTTCCTTTAATAGTTAGTCCCTTGAGGGCTCTGAGTGTATCTAACAAAAAATGCCCCACCAGGTCCCTGCCATCCGAGCTAAAAGTGAAGCACTGAGGTGTTGTGACTGATGGCCCCAGGCGTGTCGCCCGTGAGATGGGGGCAGACACTTGGATACGGTTGAGCTGTGAGAGCTAGTCACAGCCAGCAGGTCTCGGGTTGACTCACACTGAACGAAACAGAGAGAAGGGAGGGACCTGTACTTTGGCAATTCCAGAAAGTCAAAAAGACAATACTTCAGGTGCGATTAAATTTTTTTTTGCTCTTCACCTCTCAGCAGCACGCATTCAAACTCATGTGAAGACCCTTGAGAGTAGCTCCTTTCTGAGGCCTGGATTCTGACTCAGTTCCATCAGTAACATATTCTTCTGTACTTGGTAGAAATCATTTTGGGTTTTGGAGCGAATCTTTTTGAGTTAATTGCCATCATTCTAGTAAATGACAACATGGGTCCCAAAGCTGATCCAGGAAGATCTCCCAAAACCCTGCACATGGGAGGGCGAGTTGGCCCTTCCCTCCCCAGAGCTCTTCGGCATGGCTGCATCTGTCTCCTCTCCTTCTCCACTGGCTGAACCATTCCTGTTCACTTTTCCTTGTTGTCTTCAGTGCTTGCCAGGTTTGGTGTTATCTTCAAGTGTCCTCAAAAACATAAGCCCATGTTGTCCCTTTAGTTCTGTGTCTTTGCATGCATTTCATACATCCAGACCTGTGTGTTAACTTTCAGCATTCTTCAGTCATACTTCACATTGACTGTTCATCACATGGTAAATGTTACGACTCCATATTTATCTGTCACAAAGAAAATGCATGTGGAAAATCCATCCATCCCTCTCTTCCCTCCCTCCGAGCTTCTGAGCACTGTTTTTTTTTTTCTGCAATTTATAACCAATATAATGCTGAAGATTTGCCATACATACTGTTATTTTTAGAAACATTGAGTGGTAGGACTCCTAGAAAATTTGCAAAGAGATGTTATTCACCATATCAGACTCTCAGGTTCTAGTGATGAAAATTTTGCTTATACTTTGCTGTTACTTATACCTGCTGCTGTACGGAAAATGAAAGTTTATTCATGCCACATTTAACTTTGACCATAAATAAAAGGGAGCATCTTTTTGGAGTTAGTCATGGTCATCTTTAGCGGTATTTCTCAACAGTTCTTAATTTGAAATACTTCAAAGCAAGTAAAGGTCAGGGCTTAGCTGAATGAAATGCTCCAGAACTTGAAGTGTAGAAAGCATCAGTACAGTAACATATTCATGTGTATAAAGTGACAGTTACAGCATAATTGGAACATTTGCATTAATCAACAAACTCACATTGAGACAAAACTCAGTCTTACAGCTTTCTTGATTAAAGCCAAGTGTTCCATGCTGCTGTGAAGAACAGTCTCTCAAACACTTTGAAAAGTAATTACTTCAAAACTTGTAAAGGTATCACGTTTTTGTATTTAAACACTTAACAGAGATCTCCAATTTCTTGAATCTGAGCTTGTGGGTAGAATTCTAAATTTGTATCATAATCTTGTCTTTTGTGAAAGATTTTGAAAATAGTATGTATATATATAATATTATATATGCAAATTGTGTTTTGTCACTTGTAAAGGGAAAAGGCTTATTTTTCTTTATACTTCTGATACCTTGTTTTGCATATGACCAGCACTGACTGAAAGGCATGTGTACCTGCAAACACTGTTGCTTTTTTTTGTGAAATAAAAATAAAAGTATTTAAATATAAATATTGTGTAGACCATTTTCATTTTTAAAAAGTCCATATAAAGTGGTTTATCATCTCAGCTGTACCAGAACAGGAACCATGTTCATTGTCTTTCGCAGCGTTTCCTATCTCACCAGTGCTCCAGTATCTTTACTGCGTGTAACTCAAGGGTTCACAGGCTCATTAGTGCCATGTTGGACTGTCCTGGGTATTGTATGATTATTACCAACATCCCTGGTCTCTAATGCAAGTAGCAACTCCCTACCCACAGTGAAACAACCAAAAATGTCTCCAGACACTGCTAAGCGCTCAATGGGGTGGAGTGGGGTTAAAGTTATCAGTGGATGCACTCCACGTAGGGCAATTATTTTTAGAATGAAATGATTCTTATAAATACACAGGTCACTTGAGTAGCCATTTGGTCAGATCTCCAATAAGAAGTTCCTTGTTTTGATTCCCGTAAATATTCTTGGGAGAGAACTGAGAATATCTTAGGCTCTCAGGTGTTGGAATTAGAACCAGTATTCTTCTATATAAATTGTTAGCACTTAAAGTGAGGCATTTTAAGGCAAATAGAGTTTGGGGTAAAAGAATTGAGACACTATTTCTGGGCATACAAAAATACACATTGAAGCAATACACTTTTAAAATGTTACCAGAACTTACCTGGTGGTCCAGTAGTTCAGACTCTGCACGTCCAATGCAGAGCCACGGGTTCAATCCCTGGTTGGGGAACTAAGATCCCACATGCCACAGGGTGCTGCCTTCTAAAGAAAAAAAAGGGCAAAAGTTAAAGTTATTACCATTAATAATATATTTGGGGAATGCTCTTAGAAATTAAAAGATTTTTGCTCAGAAGCTACTAGTTCAATTTCTGATACTTGGTTCACAGAGATGTATGGTAAAAATTGAACTAAAACCCATTATAAATATATTGGGTTGGCCAATAAGTTCTTTCAGGTTTGAAAAACTGAACCTTATATAACCTTATATAAAAAATGTTTTTATTCCAGTGGAATTTATAGATGTTAAGTGACATAAATGCATCATCTATAAGTTGAGAATTAACTACAGTCCAGGAAGGCTGCCTCTCAGTCTGACAAAATGTTCCAAAAAGGTAAAGGAGGGGTCAGGATATATAGGAGGTTTTGCATTTTTGCTGAAAATATGTGGTTGAATATCAAACAGTTACTGTGAATCACAGACACAAAAGACATCAAGTTAAAAGATTTTAGTGCCTTTCTATATATGAAAAGAGTCTACCGCATTGAAATTCCTTTGATATGTATTTTATCTAGGGCTAGGATCCTGTTTTTGTCATTTCTGAATTACCCTCAGGGTACATGTTGGGGGCAGGTGCAGTGGCTGTGGGCTTGATGGTGGAGCTAAATTCATTGATTATTGAAATTACGGGCAACTTTTTTGTCCATAGCACCTCCTTGTGGTCATAAATTAGATCAAGGTTTGGGAGACATTCCATGACCAATTTTCCCACAGCACTAAGAATTATAACCCATGAAAATTTTCCCTTGTTGCTTCTTTCTCCCCATTTCTACAGTTGGTTGCACTATTACAGTTATTCTGGGTAGAGTTACATTTGATCAACTGCCCCAAGACTTTCAGCCATCATTAATTTTGTCAGTGGATGGGTTACCATTGCATAATGCAATAGAAAACTATCTTTCCAACCCAGGGACTGAACCCAGGTCTCCTGCACAGCAGGTGGATTCTTCACCATCTGAGCCACCAGGGAAGCCCATCTTATAGACAGGATATGAGTAAATACAGCTAGTCTCATTAATAAAATCATAGTATAGCAGGTAGAGACAAGGCATAAATAGTTCGAGAAACAAGAGGACAGACTAAAACAATTGGTGTAACTGGATGTAAGCTGGTCACAATAAGTCATCAAGTCTACAGGGGAGGCAGCTGGAGAAGAAAAATTCTGAAGGGATCAAGTAGAGATAAATCACACCTTTTGTAAATGAAGATAACAATTACCAACTTGTTGCAGGTCAACATAAGAGGAAAGGCTTTCTGAAAAAGATTAAAGGCAGTGTTTAAGAAAAAAAGTTGTAAAATTATAAATCATTTATTGCTCATAATTCCTGTTGATCTGGGTGAAGTCAGGTTTTCCATTAGAGTTCTGTAATTTCTTACCCCTTTTAGTAGTATGATCTAAAAGTCATCAGAAACTTGTTTGTCCAATAGTCCTTTTTATGAATCTTCTTTAGGATCTTCATAAAAACATCTGAGTAAAATAATGATTGTCTATTAATGTAAGTGACTAAAGACTTAAAATGGCATGGTTAAATTAAAATCTGATTATAACACAATTGACAAGAAACTTGGTTATTTCTATGACATATAGCATTTTAAGATAACTAGAATTATGACTTGATAACATACCAGGATGTACCAGAATTTTATATTTTGGAACATCCATATTAATGATATCTACCCATATAAGAAAATTTTGCCACCACTTATTTGACTGTATTTCCCATGTAATATACCCAATAAATTCATTTAATTTAGTATCTGTCTTTGGAATATTTCAGGGGCCCTTTGAAGCATCCCAAAATTAGCTACAGGTCAGAAGAACTTTGTTTAGAATTTCACTTGGGCAAGTTTGTAAGAGACATCAAAGGTTTAAAACACTATCAGATCATTAAAACACTATCAAATAAAATCATAGGTCATTGAAACAATACTTATTTAACCGAAGAGACGAAAGATTTTTAAGGTAAATACAGATCATTTAGAAGACAAATAAACTCATCATCATGTATCAAAAGTAGCCTAACATTTCCAGAAAGCTTTTTCCTCTTAACAGAAGAGGAAACTCCAGCCCTGCACCAATATACCTTGAATTACAAAGTTCACTTACCTAATTAAATTTAATCCAATCTCAGCCTAATCATGTCCAAAACTGTTCTCAGTCCTCCCTTTCCACAAACTTTGCACAATTTTCTGTACCTATTTAGTTTATTCTTCATTTTTCTTTTGCATTTAGAATTAATCAGCTTTAGAGCAAAAATCTCTTTTCCCTTAACACAACACATTTCCATTCCTCATACCTTCTTTTGCTGAAAACACACATCCTACTTTCCTTGCATACTAAAATATTTCCAGTAGCTTAATTCCCAATCCTTAAAAACCTTGATTTCTAGTGAAAACTAAGAAGCAAGCAATTATGAACACACCAGTATTTCTTTATTGGTAAACTTATGAACATATTCTATAACCTCTAGAAACATGCGCTTTCTCTAGAGTATCTCTCCTCAATGTGCTACAAGATGTGTCTAATAACCAAACATCTTTAGTTTTCAGCAATTAATGTTCCAGGATTTTATCTTACTTGAAATAATCTGGATATTCAGTAAATGCTACCATTTACCTTAGCAAAGTTCTAAAGTTTCAAGTTACCAAAAATCTGGAGAAACTATTTTAGGTAGATCCAAAACATTATTCCTAAAGAGTTCACCAGAAAATTCTTATTTATATTTTATAACTTAAAAAAACAATACACCAGGTTAATTCTACTTGCTGACAAACGTTGCAACAGACATAATTAACTTACTGGCCTTCAAAACACCTAGGTACAATAAAAATAAGATAGGTCTATTGGTTAAGCCAATAAGCTTAAGATAGCTTTAATACCAGATATTAGTATTTCCTGGATTACATGAAGCTAAAATTCTATCTGGCCAGTTTTCTTCATACTTAGAAATATTTAACTTGAAAGCACTTACTTTTAAGTAAATTAGAGCTCTTTTATAAATTTTGGGAATACTAGAGGAGAGAGAGGCATATGGATAATTTGCACAGACATACTAGAGATCTTAGAGCTTTAAAACGTTAGTTATGAGTCAGGCATTACAACATAAACTTACTAGTTTATAACAGTGAAATAAGTTTATTTACTCAGATGATTAAGGCTTTACTATTTGTGGAAAAGACTTAAGATTGTATTTGTCTCCGACAAATCCTTAATGAAGCTGTGAATTTGCTTTTGGTGAGGGAGATTTTTTCAGAGGTTTGAGTTTAAAAAGCCTTTCTCCCCCTCCCCCTTTTTTCCCGTTGGTTTCAGATTCCATCTGATTGAGGTAATCAGGCTCAGTCTCAAGTCATTGTGGACTGTACTTAAATTTTTGATTTGTGGAGATTTGCTAGACAGTTGCTTTTAACTCTCCTAAGAATGGATTTGCCACCTAAATGGTATAAAAAGATCGATTTGCCCAGCTACATTTTCTTTAGTTTTTTCTTTTTTTTTTAATGAATAAGATTTCCGACTACACTGAAAATCAGGAATTCCATATTCTAGAATTTTAGGGTTCAGTTTGTCAGGGTTTCAAAAGTTTGTACAAGGTATTCAACAAAGACCCTCTTTTTGAGGGCAGAAGTCAAACTCAGAGCAAAAAAACTCTATTATTGTTTTTATGAACCCCAGAATATTAGCTCCCAGTTTTTAATATTTTGTGGGCTTAGGTAATGCTAGTACTTTTCTTCAGTACGTCTAATTAATATCACCTTAGGGGCAGATGTATACACCCCATCTTAAAGTAGGCAGGGGACACATTCCCCAGTGAAATACAAGGTCCATCACACAATCTAATTAGGCACAGGAGATGTAACCATGTTATATAAAGCCCATGGAAATATACCAATGTTTAGAAACTTTCATCTCAGTTTTATACCTTTAACTTCAGTTTTCAATAGGACCCCATCATCAACAAGCCTTGGTCTTACTAGGAGTCCCAGAAGCTTTCCTTTTTATCCTCCAGCCATTTTATCTACTTTTTTTGGTAAAAAGGTTTTGAGGTTCCCAGTGAGGAGCTGAACCAGTGGACTCAGGCCTTTTTAATCTTTTAACTTGATTGGTTGGCCTAACGTTGCCACAAGCAATTGCTGGTCAGATATCTCAGTGTAATTTTTTCCAGTCTGCTAAATATATATGTACTGTTTAAACTAAGGTAAATACAGTAGACTGGGTTGGGGCCCTTCAAGGTTAAATGGAACAAAGGGACCCCTTATTGGTCCCCAACACTAGGTAGTATTGTATCAAACCTTTGTTTTAATCCTATTAATATCTGTTTTATCTGCCCAATTTCTTGAGAACTACCTGAAGTTTTGGGGTTTTTTTTTTATCCTTTTGGAACAAGTCCCTTTAAAATGTCCACCTTGTTGGCTAGAAGTCTTTAGACTTTCCATCAGCTTCTTACTTCCCTGTTAATCTAATTAACAATCTCATGTTTTATTAGCAACTGTAAGACTGAGAGGAAGTCTAGACCACAGAAAATGTTTCCCAAACTTTTGCTTATTTTAAACTAAGGGAGTTCCTAGGTTATATACGTGTGTGTGATGGGTGTGGGGTGTGTCTGTGCCTCCAGGGTTCTTGCTGGCTTTCTGGGAAATCCCATGGACAGAGGAGCCTGGTGGGCTGCAGTCCATGGGGTCACAAAGAGGTGGACACGACCGAGCACTCACACACGTATATATAAAACCTTCTAATTTCCACACCTCCCCCCCTACCCCGCAAAGGTACCAATATAACAGCTGTTTAAAATGAGAGCTCCCTAAATATTTACCAATTTAATACCTTTTCCAATTTAAAGGGTCCATCACCTGGTCACTGACAAGTAGTATCTTTATAGCAACTCACACCAATGAGGTGCAAGACGTGTTCCCACAAGGGAGTGCTAAGCATGTAGCCTTCGCAACAGTTACAAAGATTATTTCCCCAAAGTCTGAGAAAGTGGGGGGCCATCACTGTACAGGCAGGCAAAATGAAGTGGAAGATGACCAAGGGCTGGGGCCCTCATGACGACTGTCCTTGAGAGCTGGCACAGCCAGACAAAAGGATAGCTCGGAATTCCAGTCTATCCAATGGGCTGCCAAATGTGCACCAAATGTGTGCCTTCTGGATGACAGACCCAGGTCTCAAACCAGAGCAGGCCGGGACAGGGGATTGCAAGGAGGGGTGCCTAAGTTCAGGTAGAATATTTACATTCCAAATACACAGGGAGAGAAAAGCAGGTCCTTCCTAGAAAGACTTTTGTTACTTTAAGGACAGAATTGTGAAAAGGTGTTTTATCCAGTTGGATTTTCTCTAGCTGTGCACACACACAAAAATTAATTCTGTAACCTCAAAAGAATCTCAGTTTGGCCATCTTAAGGGCAAGATTTCCTTTAATTTCCTGTTAAGTACTGGAAGTTTAAGTTCTGTAGGTATATATTAAATCTTCCCAGTGTCTTTCAACGGAGGATAAGCCAGGTACCTCTCCTTGCAAGTAAGGTTCTAAGAAAACCTGCTTCTTAAGGCAGGAGTTGAACCACCACCAAATAAAACAGTATCTTGCTCCTTGGAAGGAAAGCTATGACCAACCTAGACAACGTATTAAAGAGCAGAGACATCACTTTGCCAACAAAGATCAAAGTCAAAGCTATGATTTTTCCAGTAGTCATGTATGGATGTGAGAGTTGGACCATAAAGAAGGCTGTGTGTGTATGTTAGTCGCTCAGTCGTGTCCAATTCTTTGTGACCCCATGGACTGTAACCTGCTGGACTCCTCTGTCCATGGGATTCTCCAGGCAAGAACACTGGAGTATATTGCCATGCCCTTCTCCAGGGGATCTTCCTGACCCAGGGATTGAATAGGGTCTCCTGCATTGTAGGCAGATTCTTCACTGAGCCACAAAGGAAGTCTAAAGAAGGCCGAGTGCTGAGGAATTGATGCTTTCAAATTGTGGTACTAGAGAAGACACTTCAGAGTCCCTTGGACTGCAAGGAGATCAAACCAGTCAATCCTAAAGGAGATCAACCCTTAGCATTCAATCAACTGATGCTGAAGCTCCCACACTTAGGCCACCTGATGTCTAGAGCCGACTCTGGAAAAGACAGTGATTCTGGGAAAGTTGAGAGCAGGAGGAGAAGGGGACGACAGAGAATGAGATGGTTGGATGGCATCACCAACTCAATGGTCATGAATCAAAAAAAAAAGTCATGAATCTAAGCAAACTCCAGGAGATAGCGGAGGACAGGGGGCCCTGGAGTGTTACAGTCCATGAAGTCACAAAGAGTCGGACGTATCTTAGTGACTGAACAACAGCAACAAAATCTCTTCTGCTAATAACCAGATGTCTGAGACCTGAGAGAGACTCACCTTAACTCATCTGGACTTCTTGAGGAAGGGCAAACAGGGTCAAGGGGGCTTCTGCTGATACCAAAGCTCCCGTTCCTTGTAGAGTTCAAGTGAGGGAGAGAAGTCTGTTCTGGATCCCTTTGTTGGTTACCAAAACTCAACTGGAAAAAAAAAAAAAACCACAGACACACACAACCTAAAAATTTAGAACTATATTTTGTACTGAGGACTGGAGTCTGGGAAGGCATCCCCTCAGAAAGCTCAGGAGGACTATTACTAAGAGGGAAAGAGGGGACAGGATATGTAGGAGTTTTGTTTGTTTCTTTTTTAAAATAAAATGAAGATAATATTCTACTGGGGAATATATCCAACAGATTTTTTTTATCTCTCCATATCTACATCCAATAGTAGTGTTTTACAGGCAAATTTTAAACACAAATTTAAAAAAAAAAATGAAAGCCATGTTTTGCTCAGGGATACTATTATATATATATATATATATAATATAGGTCATTTTACAGAAGATAACTCGTTTGTCAAATTTCAGATGGCAAAATGCTAAGCAGTGAGCTTGGTACTGTCCAGCTAGCTGTTCTTGTCATCCATCCTGGAGAATCTGTCAGTGTGTAAGGTTGAGACCATCTTGTCACCACCAAGTCTCTTCTCAGAGGTGATTCCACTGTGATAGAACATTCACCTTCTTAAGATGCAAGGCCTAGCACAAAGCCTCCCACAGATCCACTGGATATCACAGTGTTCTCTCTGACACATTCTGTTGTTTCTTCCATTATTGATTTTGGGTGCTGCCTCATTTGCTGGTTTCCTCATTGTCCTTCTGTTTTGTTTACATCTTTTTCAACTCTCCTCCAGTCGATCTGCACACAGCCACCGTGACCGGCAATCTGAAGGAGAAGAAGGCCATCACCTACTGCAGTTGCTGCAAGTTTTCGAACTTTCTGGAACAAAAATCCTGCACACCAGCCACTCACTCCACCCATTACAATCTGGGTGGCTACTGAGTATTTTCCTACCATAGGTCCAGAGCTGCGGGCAAACACCTGATTCCACCAGTGGTATCTTCTGGCATACTCAGTTAAATCCAACGCTTCATAAGACTCACCATCACTTTCATATTCTTGGGAAGGGAGGTTCCGGGTCGCCATGATACTGCCAGCAGCTGTACTGAGGTAGTCCCAACCCGCCCGCCTCTCCCCACTACTTTAAAAACTGCTCTAGGCCCAGGTGGAAGTCTATGGTAGGAGTTACCGCTGAAAAAAAATTTTTAGTCAAACATCAAAAGATTATTACTGATCACACACGTACAAAAGACATCTTCAAGTTAATGATTTTAGTGCTTGTCTGTGAATGGGAAAATGCAAGATTCTAGACCAACTGAAATTATTTCTTTGACAGGCATCTTAAACACCCAGGGCCAGTATCCTGTTTTTCTCCATTCTGAATTTCCCTCAGGCTGTGTCATCAGGGGCAGCTGCAGTGGCTGATGGCTTGATGGTGGACATAATTTGTTGTTTACTGAAATGGCAGGTGATGCTTTTTGGTCCACATTTTCAATATTTCAGAATTTTTAGAATTAATGGCACAGAAGAGTTTCATTAGGCATATTTTCTTTTATGCTTTACTTCTTGAATTCTTATCACAACCCACCCCCACAATAAAACACAAAAGCATTGTACATGTACTAAAACTTGTGTGTGAAATGAACATTTGATTCACATGGTATACAGGGGTGTCAATTACCACAGAAAAACATTCTTTATTATTATAGTCCGCCCTCTAGGTCCAACAATTGGTCATCTGCTTCCAAGGCTTGATGTTTTAATCTTCACTTTTATTATTTTCCCTCATGGATGGAGATCCAAGCATACAACCAAAGTCCAGTTGACATAAATGTACTTCAGGGCTCCCTGTGATCTTTGTTGTTGGCTGAGCAGAATTATAATCAGGACTTCTTACATTTATAACAAACTTCACTCTTGTTCTCCACTCATTCCTCTAAAGGGAGAACATGATGATAGAGTTATCGAAATTGATACTTGGTGGTGTCAATGTGTTGCTTATTCCAGTGCCATTTGTATACAAGCCAAGAATGGGAAATCGGGAGGCTTCATGTTTCATGCTTTCTGATGTTGTTGGTCTTCTACGTGAATGTAGCTGATCCTCGGGTGTTTTGTGCAAGACTGCACACTGGCTGGCTTCTGAGTTTAGTGGTTGTCTTTAACCTTCATTTTCTTTGCCTCTCAGGCCTTTGGAATTTTTAATTTGAGTAAGATTATTATAATATTACTATTATTACATAATAACAAAGTCAATGTGTTCTAGAAATTTAAAGGACCTGAAAGGCTGTAGAACAAAGACTGGCATCAATCAGGATTGGAAGTGATTCTCGAGTCAAGCATTTCCCACTTGTCACTTAATTCCTATTAGCCTCTATTTTTCTCCATTAATAAAATAGGCATACTGTCTACTTTTCAGGCTTGTTAACATTAAATAAAATACCTATAAGTACCTAGCATATTACTTGGATCACGATGACAGTAAATATCAACTGCTATTGTTAAAACTGCCAGCGGCTTTCTGAAGCATATGGATGTTAAAATCGTTGCATATGGAAATGAAGTGGTTTTTTTCTAATTGAATAAGGTTATTTCAGTTAGGAAGTTAGGAAAGTTATTTTAGTCGAATCTTTTTTATAAATTTAAGCCTTAAATTTGCAAATGTATTTTTGTTTGAGAGGTACTATATATTAGAAAAAGCATGCTGGTATGAATCTAAAAATCAATTACAGAAAGAAAAATGGGAAAAGCACAAACTCATGGAGAATAAACAACATGCTACTAAAAAAAAAAAAAAAAAGTCAGTGAAGGAATCAAAGAGGAAATCAGAAAATACCTGAAGACAAATGAAAATGAAAACACATCTTTCCAAAAATGTATGAGATGCAGCAAAGGTGGTTCTAAAGAGGGACTTTTATAGCAATACAGAACTATCTCAAGAAAACAAGAAAAAATCTCAATTAACCTCATGCTGAAAAGAACAATAAGCAAAGCCCAAAGTCAACAGAGGGAAGGAAATAACAATCAAAGGGAGTCAGTGAAGCGCGGAGAGCAGAAAAACAATAGAAAATATCAATGCAGGAGGCTCAGCAGCAGCCTGAGACCATGCTGACTCAGTGGTGATGGGCTCCAGTGGGCCCCAATGTGGGGATCAGCGGGGATCAGGTCCTTCCCCCCAGAGCGAGGCCCCAGCCAGAGGAGGCAGGGCAAACAGAAGAAAGAAAAGGGGAAATCAGGGATGTCCGTCATCTCTAGGCACAGGTGTTCTGGCTTTACTGAAAGAAATCATCCAGACAAGATGGTAGAGTAGAAGGACTTGAGTCCACCTCCTCTCATGAAAACACCAAAATCATAGCCAACTTCTGAACAACCACCGAGAAAACAGACTCCAACCTACCAGAAAAGATACTCAATATCCAAAGGCTAAGTAGAAGCCACTCTATTCTATAGCCAAAAAGTTGGGGTACTTTCATGGTACAATCAAATCCCATACCTTCTACATGGGAGACTCTCAGAGCTGGAAAATAATTAAAACCCAGAGATTCTCCCCTAGGAGTGACAGCTCTGAGCTCCACGTCAGGCTGCACAATCTGGGGTGGGGTCAGGCATTGGGAAGAGGGGTCCCCAGAGCATTTGACTTTGATGGTCAGTGGGGCTTGAGTCCACAGGAAGTGGGGGAACAGGGACTCCACTCTTGGGAAGCTTCACATGCACTGGGACCCAGGCCAAAGCAGCAACTCCAGAGGGGTCTGGGCCAGACCCACCTAGAGGTCTTGAGGGTCTCCTGGGGAGGCAGCTGTGGCTCACTGTGGGGACAAGGACACTCAGGGAATACTCATTCATGAGCTCTCGCAGAAGTCACTGTTTTGGGACTGAGACTTGGCCCCAGCCAACAGCCATTTGCAGTAACATGGATGGATCTCAGGGTTATCATACCAAGTGACGTAAGACAGAGGAAGCCAAATACCATATGATATCAGTTACATGTGGAATCTAAAAAGAAAAAAAGTTCCAATTAACTTTAAACCGTTCCAATTTTAAAAGGAAAAAAAAGTACAAATAAACTTTAAAAAAAACAAAACAGAAATAAACAGACCCCCAAACATAGAAAACAAACCTATGGCGACCAAAGGGGAAAGGTGCAGGGGAGAGATAAGTTAAGAGTTTGAGATTAAAACTCCTGTACACACTACTACATGTGAAAAACATAGCCGGGAATTCCGTGTCAGTCCAGTGGTTAGGACTCCACACGCTCACTGCCCAGGGCCTCGGTTCAATCCCTGGGCAGTGAACTAAGATCCCATGTGCCATGTGGTGCAGTCACAAAAATAACTAACTTTTTTAAAGTTAATTAATTAATTTAATTAGATAACCAGCAAGGACCTTCCACATGGCACAAGTACCTATACTCCAGATTTTATAATAACCTATAAGGAAAAAGAATCTTAAAAATATATGTGTATATAATAATCACTTTGCTGTATACCTGAAACTAATACAACATTGTAAATCAACTGTACTTCCATAAAAAAAACAAAAACACCATTTCATTCATGTGTGTGTGTGTGTGTGTGTGTGTGTGTGTGTGTATCAAAGTATATACTGTGAAAAAAAATTTTTTTAAGGGAACCATCCCACATGGTTGGTGGGAATGAAAATTGGTATAGCTATTATGGGAAATAGTATGGGGGTTCTCAAAAAGTTAAAAATAGAACTATAATTCAGCAATTCTACTGCAGGATCAATGAAAAACACTAATTTGAAAAGATACATGTACCCCAATGTTCACAGTAAAATTATTTACAATAGCTAAAATATGGAAGCAACATAAGTGTCCATCAACAGGTAAATGACAAAGATGTAGCATGTGTGTGTGTATATATATATATATATATATATATATATATATATATATACAATGAAATACTAGTCATAAAAAAGACTGAAGTTCTGCCATTTGCAACAATGTTGATGGACCTAAAGAATATTAGGCTTAGTGAAGTAAGTCAGAGAAAGACAAATACTGAATGTTATCTGAAAATATAAGGTATATAATATTGTTAATCAACTACACTTCAGTAAGAAAC